AGCCTGACTACCCGACCCAGTTAGTCTCCTCTCACGACAAGCATAGTCGCATTATACGGGAACTTCACGGGTCGTTATGATTGTAATACCCATGAGAATTATACAACATTCACAATGTCTCGCTATTTACAGTAATCATAATCTTTATTTTTGAATTTGAAATATCTTTATAGACTGTCAAAGAGTTTTATCATTTAACTGAAGCTTTTATCCATGACATAAGCTTACCACATAAAAACATGAATCTCATATCCAAATGACATAAGTATGCAAATAAGATAACCGGAAGTGGGACTTTTTTCGTCGGTGCTCGTGAGCAGCTGTTTACAAACAACATCCATTCTGAGAACAATTAGTGCCATATTTATTCTGACCAGCACAAGCAAATATCCAACATTAATTCGCGGAACACTCCTTCCCACACGAACGTCGCTATATAAGTGCAATAATCTTGGACGCGACGTTAAACCCAATTTCACCTCACCTCACCTTCCCACACGAGACATTCCAGTTTGGTGGTGAAATTCCCGTCATGCTCGTGGGCAGGTGTTTACAAACAACATGGATACATTTGATGTTGGGGCAACTGTTTTAATAGATCGGAGGATCGAAATAATGTTTCGCCAAATCAAATAATGCAGACAACTGGTCACAAAAACATCCATTCTGAGAACAATTTCTGCCATATTTATCCTGACCAGCACAAGCAAATATCAACATTAATTTGCGGAACACTCCTTCCCATACGAGACATTCCAGTTTGGTGGTGAAACTCCCATCATGCAAAGCGTCCCCGCGCATAATGTCCAAATCGCCAGTAGACAACACAGTCAGTGGTCTTGTTTCTGGTTTCTGGTGGTGTCAACAATATGTTTGCAGACAACATTACTGGTGGAAACATTACGATTAATCTCGTTAAACCTCCAAGCCAGTCAAAAGACCGGATTGTCATTGAAAGTGACAGTGACACCGTCTTTAAGCACACTCTGACCTCTCCCTCACGAGACATTCTCAAAGTGAGAGCGCGGTTTGATTCGAAACCTATATATCAGTGAGATTCAATCAGATATATAATCAAATGACTCAAAATCGATGTTGTTACCGTTATTAAAGGAATAATTATTCTGCAAAACTCTGTTCAAATATTTTGTTTAAAATAATCCGCGTAACATGTTTCTCAGCGAAGGAATATGCCATGAAGGAGTTAAGAGTTTGTCTGTTTTGGTTCACAGTAACTTTACACGTCAATAGAAAACAAGTATCATTACGGACGATCTATACGTAAGATTTTGACAAGTTACTGACGGTAATTCTTGAAAGGGGAAACAATAATGTGAAAATAATAAATAAAATTCATCACTCGTGTTTTTATACATGGGTTAGATAAACCTCGTCCTGTTAATCGGTATTTGCCTCGCCAAATGCAAATACACCAACGGCTTGGCAATAACCGATTAACTAAGACTCGGTTGATTTATCCCATATTAAAAAACACCCGTGATGAATCCTCTATATCTGTAACATACAGATCACCTGGAGATTGAACATATACTGGTCATGAAGTTGTTGGGCTTTTGTTCATTTCATTTCATGACATGATTACTTTGTTACAGAGAAGTAAATATCATTTTGGTTAAAATATTGTTTACAAAACAACTGTATTTCACTTTATTTCACTTTAATTATATCCACACATTTTTATGGAATAATCCAGTAGAAATATTGTAGCTCATGCTATCTAATCTGTCAAAATTGGCAACCAAAATAACTGCTGTTCACAGTCACAGAAGCACTTTGTTTGTTTGTTGTTTAACGACGCACTCAACAATATTCCAGCTATATGACGGCGGACACAGAAGCACTAGTAGATCCAGAGGTCTTATAGTTTATTGGAATGTATTTGAGTCCATTACAATTTACATCAAATCACAACTGATGCAAACTTCCGATTTTTTATGATTCTATTAAACTATTTCTAATAGGTTACAATAAGATAAATAAAATCGCCATGTCAAATTAGTTAGTTTCTGACATCTATCTAGATATGGTCAAAAGTCAATATTTACTACTCGCCAAAGACCAGCTGACTGGTAATAAAGAAATAGTTTGGGTTAATGATGAGTAAACAATGAACTATTCTTCACACGATGCCAGTAGGATTTGTATGAGTCTGAGTTCTGCTACTATAAACTGCACTGAGTGTTACTTGGTGGTCATGGATATTTTAAATTGAAATCACAACAGAACGGCCAGACTCACTTGCTAAATGTATATCAGAAAAGAGACAAGATAACAGTAGAATACATTGTCAATGATAAGAATAAGAATTATGTTCAATACTTGCCGTGACAGTATCGGAAAGGTCAAATTGTCAGTTTGTCCCGATTGCGTGCTTTGTTTACATCGCCATATGTATCAAGTGTCATCCAGCCTTCACCTTCTGCACCCCAAGCCTCGCTTCCTAACCGGAAGTAGCGCGAAATAGGTCAATGGGGTGCCTTCAGTGAAGTTTCTCTGTAGGGTTGTCATTTCGCTCGGCATTCTTGACACCGTTCAATCCCTCGGGACACCCAAAGCCCATTGTTTATTCCCTATTTTATTTGTTATGGTTATATACACGATAGCTACGCGACAAATCGCACATAACAATGAAGAACAAAGAGTGGTTTATTTCCCGCTAAAACATTGTTCAATCATTTCTGGTTTCATGTTTTTTTCTTCTTCATTTTGAGGAGCTGAGATTTTTTTCAGATAAAGAGAGCTGAGATTTTACATTACGTCACATTTCAAATTCAAACTGTGGAAAGAAAGTTAGAAATCTAACTGTTCAGTAAAACTTAACTGTACAGATGTAGGTGATTTTGAAACAGAAACATGAAAATAGCAGCATATTAAAGCATTTAATATAATATTAGATAATAGACAACACAGTCAACTTGACATGTTGGTACTCACATCTACTGGAGGAATGTACCTTTTAGTTACTACGATTGTGGATGATGGACATAATTGGAAAACGTTTAATGTACACAGACGAAAAAAAGAAACGTTCCCAAACTGAACGTGAGTGAGTGTGTTTGGTTTTAGGCCGCTTTTGGCAATATTCCAGCAATATCACGGCGGGGGACACCAGAAATGGGCTTCACACATTGTACCCATGTCGGGAATCAACCCGTGTCTTCGGCGTGATGAGCGAATGCTTGAACCACTACGCTACCCGACCGTCCCCAATATGGTTGAGAATCAATCGCCTTAACACAGCCACAACAGTTTCCTGAGTAACATTACCCAGATTAGTGGAACATGAAGTAAGGTGTGAAGTGCAACATTTGCTGCACTTGCAGCATGCCAGCCTATACAGATATGGACATAAAAGGAACAGTGTACTGTTTATTCTAACCCAAACTGTTGAACAGTGATAAATAGCATGTTAAGATTAACAGTAGTGAACGCTCCATTGTTATGATTTTTTCATCGAAGCAACGCATGACGACGTTGCAAGACGTTTTGGCTATAGCCGAATGACAGTCACCTGGCTGAAGGTCCGTCTAGGGATACTGCATGGACGGGAGACAGGCGACACTTCAAAGTCAAAGTAAACAGTAAAATGCATTTCTCTAATCACAATGGTTGTCTCCCTCTTAATAAGCAAAATGCACTCATTAGGAAGCAATGTTCAAGACAGGTGCAAGAAATGTTAGAAGCCAATATCATTCAAACCAGTTCTTCTGAATGGCACTCTCCCATTGTCATGGTTAAAAAACGGGATAGCTCTTACCGCTTGCCGTAGATTATAGACGCTTCAGTGCAGTGACCAAGCCTATATTTTCCCTCTACCACCTCTGCCAATATTTTTAGTGTGCTTGATTCCGCAAGTGGCTTTTGGCAAATACCACTCCACCCAGATGCAAAAAACAAGTTGGATGGAATTGCCTCCCTTTTGACCTACAAAAATGCTCCGTTGGCATTTCTGCAAACCATTTCACAGGCAATAAAGAAGTGAATTGGCGTTACATATTAATATAGGTAGATGTTTTCTAAAACGGTTTTGGAACATTTGAATCTCCTCAAGGCAGTATTCTGGCATCGCCTCTTCAGTCTTTCGAATCGTCCAACAATTTCCAACAAGCCCTTACAACAGCCCCCATCCTTGCATATCCCAACCAAAACAGACCCTTCATCTTCACAACTGATGCATCTCAAACTGCAATAGGGTACATTTTAGGCCAATTTTATTCTCCTGGTGTATTTTTTAAAGGTGTTGTTAATTCATATTTTGTGACAATCCAAGTATTTTCCTGTTCTCTTCTCAGGAACAAACAAAGATGATCGGTAACATTTCTTTTGCTCGTCAGTTTCCAAGTGAGGGTAAATATCACAGTAAACAACTGTTATGGCCTCCTGAAATGGAAGATCTGAAATTATTATTAATAAATAGAGAATCACACCTGATTGTCTTTTGATCTCAAATATCTTATTTATCATCCGACATCATTCTTCCAACTTTTTTAGTTTCTTTAGACAGTAATAATCAGTGACTTAAGTGAAAGCCATGGCTTTCTTTGCAGTGATATCTACAATGTAGATAACGCTTGATCTCCCCCATGCGTTATCTACACTGGGGGCCAGTTTTGGACGTTAATAATGGTTACAGACACACGAAATTTCTGTATTGAAGAGGACGGCCATAATGTGGTCGAGACTTTTTATTGAGGCTGAGTTATTATTATTCAAGCAGATCTAGGCTGAAATCATTTGGTCCACCCCTAAATGTCTCTATCGGTAGTCTCACACATGCATATGGCGTCTTCTAAGGCCAGTACTTTCACTTTTGTTTATAAACAACCAAAACGTCACCGAGTATATATGATATCCTTCTGCCTCTGATCCGAATGTAATACCATTGAAGAATTGACTTTTTGGGGATCACTCAGAATGAAAGACTCATTCATTATCACTCTGAATCGTCCTTTTGTTAATGATATTGCTTTAATTTTCAGGTTGTTCTGTTGCTGGCCCTGACTGCAATGGAAGGTAAACCTGATATGTTGCTGCTGTATGATACAAAGCATTATTAAATATAATGGGGGACTACCGGTAGCTCTGTTGTCTCAAACGCCACATATTTACTCAAGTCTAGAATCATTTGGCAAGTCTAGATTGCTTCAGCTCCAGACCTGAAATTAGTCATTGTCTTGTGTGCGTGCGTGCGTGCGTGCGTGCGCGCGTGTTTGTGTGCGTGTTGGTGTGCTTGCGTGCGTGCGTGCGTGCGTGCGTGCGTGTGTGTATCATGCCTTTATTTGTGGGAATAAATGTTAGCCTGAATGTGGAAGTCCGCTATCAGCTATCTCCATGAACATTTCAATCACATTTTCAGTGCTTGTACAAGGCAATTCAACTCAGTCAAATATGACTCTGACCTCTACACAAACTCCTACAACTCAGATTCCTACCACTGCCTATACAGATGATGGCTCGACGGTTATTACAACAGAATATACATCAATATACACAGTGACTGAGGTTTATACATCGTATACAGAAAACCTTTCAACTGAAGATCCGACAACGGACGTCCCGACAGCTGAACAGCCGGCAACGGACTCTCCCACAACTGAAGATCCGACAACGGACTATCCTACAACTGAACAGCCGACAACGGACTATCCAACAACTGAACAGCCAACAACAGACAATCCCACAACTGGACAGCCGACAACGGACTATCCCTCAACCGAACAGCCTACAACGGCCTCTCCTACAACTGAACAACCGACAACGGCCTCTCCTACAACTGAACAGCCGACAACGGCCTCTCCTTCAACTGAACAGCCAACAACAGACAATCCCACAACTGGACAGCCGACAACGGACTATCCCTCAACCGAACAGCCTACAACGGCCTCTCCTACAACTGAACAACCGACAACGGCCTCTCCTACAACTGAACAGCCGACAACGGACTATCCTACAACTGAACAACCGACAACGGCCTATCCTACAACTGAACAGCCGACAACGGACTATCCTACAACTGAACAACCGACAACGGCCTCTCCTTCAACTGAACAGCCGACAACGGCCTCTCCTACAACTGAGCTGCCAACAACAGACTATCCTACAACTGAACAGCCAACAACGGACTATCCCACAACTGAACAGCCGACAACGGCCTATCCTACAACTGAACAGCCTACAACGGACTATCCTACAACTCAACAGCCGACAACAGACTATCCTACAACAGAACAACCGACAACGGCCTCTCCTACAACTGAACAGCCGACAACGGACTATCCCACAACTGAACAGCCGACAACGGCCTCTCCTACAACTGAACAGCCGACAACGGACTATCCTACAACTGAACAACCGACAACGGCCTCTCCTACAACTGAACAGCCAACAACGGACTATCCCACAACCGAACAGCCTACAACGGCCTCTCCTACAACTGAACAGCCGACAACGGACTATCCCACAACTGAACAGCCGACAACGGCCTATCCCACAACTGAACAGCCGACAACGGACTATCCCACAACTGAACAGCCGACAACGGACTTTCCCACAACTGAACAGCCGACAACGGCCTCTCCTACAACTGAACAGCCGACAACGGACTATCCTACAACTCAACAGCCGACAACAGACTATCCTACAACTGAACAACCGACAACGGCCTCTCCTACAACTGAACAGCCGACAACGGACTATCCCACAACTGAACAGCCGACAACGGACTATCCTACAACTGAACAGCCGACAACGGTCTCTCCTACAACTGAACAGCCGACAACATCTACTCCAGCAACATCCACCATTGGTTCGTCTAGTTTTTAGTTAAGAAATGTTATAAAGATTGTGTCTCTACTATGTTGTAAAGACATGTGAATATACGAGACATTCATTAATTTCCTATCAATATGAATCATTGAATACAAGATGCCTCAGCAATCAATTCCTTGAGCATTTAGTCACGATATGGCTGCAATATTGACGATGTGACTCAAAAGTAGACTCACTCAACTTGGGCATAGAAAATGCTCAATTGAAAATTAGTCAACAGTTTAAATATGTTGTGTCTAGAAATAAATGTTACTGATTTATTGGTCCACGGGTTGTTGTTTCAGATTACCCGTGTCAAATCTCCCCGTGTCAAAATAACGGTATATGCATACCAGGTTTCCCGGGCTACACGTGCATCTGTACGTCACGGTTTAATGGACTCAACTGTCAAGAGGTTTGTGAATTATCGGACTGGGGCTGTCTCACTTGCTATAGTGAGTGAGTGAGTGAGTATGGTTTTACGCCGCTTTTAGCAATATTCCAGCAATATCACGGCGGGGGACACCAGAAATGGGCTTCACACATTGTACCCATGTCGGGAATCGAACCCGGGTCTTCGGCGTGACGAGCGAACGCGTTAACCACTAGGCTACCCGACCGCCCCTCTCACTTGCTATAAAATAGTTAGCCAAAAACATGATAAATTCTATGAGTGACTAGTCTTTGAAAGGAATTTAGAAGTGATACGCATAAGGAAGAGCATTTTTGGATGTCAACTTATTTATTATGAGGATCACAACGTTTCGGAGTATATGCTTACTCCTTTATCAGTAAACATCTACTCCCATACACTGTGTTCCTCATAACCCTTGTTAGGTATCCACCTTTGTAATCTTATCACTTTTGTTGTTCTTACATGTACAGATATATGTTCTCTCCCTAATAGGGGCAGTCGGGTAGCCTAGTGGTTAAAGCGTTCGCTCGTCACACCGAAGATCCGAGTTCGAATGTTTGAATGTGTGAAGCCAATTTCTGGTGTCCCCCGCCGTGATATTGCTGGAATATTGATAAAAGCGGCGTAAAACCAAACTCACTCACTCACTCTCTCCCTAATATCATTCATTCACCTGATGAAGGAGTAAGTATATACTCCGAAACGTTGTGTTCCTCATAATAAAGGAGTTGACATCCATAAATTCTCTTCCTTAATGTGACTACTTATTTACATCCTCCTTAGTTGAACTTTTATTGGTCTGGCCCAGTTTTTATAATACGACGATTTTAAAGAAAACTGCATTTTGACACGAGTATGTCCGCCATATTCGTTAGAACGGAGTCATTTCTATACCCCTGTCATAGTTTGCAGGTGCCAGTAATGCTATGTTGAGTGTAATGCTAGGCGTGAATCTTGCCAGATATATCATTATCATTTATCGGAATCTATTTAACGGAATTAAAATTTAAATTCTTTTCAGTTCGTAAGTCAGCAAAACGCCAAAGCCATTAATCCTTCTGCGTCCAATTCCTTCCTGAAGACTGAGGCTGTGTTGCAGGATGTGAAGACCGACATTGATAGTGCCACCAGTATCGATGCATTGGTATATACTTGTATACAGTATGGTTGTGTGTTTGTTTGTTGTTTAACGCCTCGCTCAGCAATATTCCGGCTATATGACTGTGGTCGTAAATAATCGAGTCTGGACCAGACAATCCAGTGATTGACATCACGAACATCAATCCACGCAATTGGGATCGATGACATGCATCAACCAAGTCAGCGAACCTGACCACCCGATCTCTTTAGTCGCCTCTTACGACAAGCATTGCCGCCTCTTACGACAAGCATGGGTTGGTGAAGACCTATCTACCCCTGCATGTATATTACGTTCGCTTTCAATAGTATCACACGGGGAAAACATCCCATATATATAATTGACTGTACATTTAGACATTTTCAAAGTTCAATTTAATATTTAAAAGTGTTTATGGGTATAAACATTTACAAGTGTAAAGGTAGACATTCTTTCCTCTGTATGCATGTTATTACATGTAGTGCAATGTTGTCATCGCCGCTGGGGGAGGGAATTGTTTATGGTGCTTGTTTGTTGTTTAACGCAGCGCTCAGCAATATTCCAGGTATATGACGGCGGTCCCTTAGTAACCGAGCCAGGACCAGACATTCCAGTGATTGACATCATGAGCATCGATACTATGACATGAATCAACCAAGTCAGAGAGCCTGACCACCCGATACCGTTAGTCGCCCCTTTCGACAAGCCTCGTCGCCTTTTACCCCGGATCTTCACGGGTCGAATTGTTTATGAACGGGTCACTGGTTGTACATGGTGTATAACATACGAATACTTGCAGACTGAAAGGTCGCTTATATTGACCTATGTGACACACGTGTAAAAGCACTTCGAATTAAAGGAAATCTTCATATGCTCGTAAGATAATCAATACTGGCGCTAGGAGGTGTCGCCTTCTTGATTGGATTTAACGTTAGCGTGACGTTTATTGTCGGAATCGCGTTTTGATTTTTATTTAGGATGTAAACACACTCCGTTTCCAATGTAGAGCTAGGTTACTCGTAGTCCAAACGGCGTTAAACTTGCAGATTTTTTATCTCCTTTCAGCCCTGACAAAGTGACACGTAAACTCGGCATGGGTTGTATACAAAGTTTGGAGTAGGTTGTCGATCGAAATTCAGAAAACCCCCGACGATAAACACTTTCAATAACACACAACTATTGTGTTATTTCGGTGATAAACTGTGTTTGATAATTAGATTAATGTGAGACCGAATTGATAGTCTCTAAATTTTATGATTTATTTATGATTAGGACAATAGGCTACATTGTAAATAATGTTTAGTTTTCTTGAAGAGGCTAATATGATAGAGAGATTTTCGGATAAATGGGGAGGAAAAATTCATATAGTTGTATTTTCGAGACATTTTATTAAATGTTTTATTTTTAATAACTCTGTCATGTTGAAAAACCCAAACTCCATGTGTGTTGTCCGCAGGGTTGATTTGGGTCGGACATCCAGGATTGGCGGGTTGGTTGGTTGGTTGGTTGTTTAATGACGCACTCAGCAATATTCCAGCTATATGACAGCGTTTTGTAAATAATCGAGTCTGGACCAGACAATCCAGTGATTGACATCATGATCATCGATCCACGCAATTGGGATCGATGACATGTATCAACCAAGTCAGCGAACCTGACCACCCGATCCCGTTAGTCGCCTTTTTACGACAAGCATAGTCCTATTCTACCCCGGAATCTTCACGGGTCTGACATCCAGCGAAACGGCACCGGCTTCCTTTCAGAAGTACTTTGTTTTGCATCTCTTGTTTCTGTCGAGATAATTGATTAATTTGTTTTTGAGAAAATATTGTTTCACGGGATAATTTCAAAAAATATATATCTAGACTGTAGGCTATTTAATCAGCTGCTTAATGACAGACCTCATTATGAAATTGTAAACAAAACTCGGGTACTCATGGTAATAAATTGTTGTTTTTTCTTTTTCAATAATTCCAGACGTTTATCTTTTTTTATTAATTGTAGTGGCCCTACCGAAGTTCAATTTGTCAACGCACATTATGTTGTTTTCATCTTCATCAGCATTGTTGGTCCAGATGTGGGTGGTTCATTCTCGGGGATGGAACTTTCTGTGATTTCTGATATAAAATGAGGTGAAAATGATGATGGACTTTTGTTACCTTGTAATGAAATGTTTACAAAGATATTTCAAAAAGCGATGTGTTTATTAGAATGCCTAAACAATTAAGGAGACGATATTTTTGTTTGATTTATTTATTTTCACAATATTAAATTATGTTGAAGTTCCTTGGCTTAATTCGACTGAACTGTTTAGGTTGGCTAGGATAGAGTTAAACTCATCATCACTTAATTCTGCCAATCCCGACCATATACTTCGGAAAAATTGCCGATTTCAAAAATTTCAAAAATTTCGAAATCCTTCACGTCTGTTTGTGGTCAAACGGAAGTGGTGCAACTGTGTTGTTTAAGTGCGCAGTGGAGCTCTCATAAAATCAGACGCATTTTTTCAATCAAAATTGATTATATGTAATTTTATTGATTGTCCAATCAAATTCAAATATTTCACATAGTCATGGTAGAATAACAAATTATCATTACTCGGGTATATTGTGACGCAAAATATATGGTACCTTTACTCGGACAAAGGAATGCGCCAAATTAAAATATATCTAAAACATGAAATACACTTTCTTAGTTTATTACCATTTCTGCACAAATGTATTGCGACACATGTTTTAATAACGTAGCCGAAACAAATTGTATGAATGGCAGGCTCTACCAGTAGGGCAGGACATGCTTACCCTTAACGCGAACACCTGGTGTCATCACTGATTTTCAGTGGTCCATTGATATAATTTCCATAGCCGTTTGCTCTTTACGCTCTTTCGGCTGAAAAACTAGGCTAATTATTCTACTACATCGGCAATTTATATATTATGTTGATGTTACATAGAGATGCTTTTCTCAGAACTCTCCCACTGAGTGTGCGATAAAAAGATTTCATTGTTTCTCTAGAACCGAACTTCAGATGTCATCAACCTCCTTGTGGAGAAGGCAGCAGAAGCCGAATGGACGGACACACAGCTAAAGACGGCCGGTGAAGGTTAGTGGCAGAGCTTACCAATTGTCATAGAAACCTGACGACCTTGAGCGATAGGTACCATGCCGCCAGTATAACATGAATACTCTTATTTAGACTCAGTGCACTGTCTCCTAGCCGACCAGACCTTCTTTGGTTCCCTTAAAGCCGAGCGGTAGGTTTTTGGTATGACTAGCCGGAGATCGAACACCGACCTCCCGTTCTCTATCTCAACCCTAACCCTGACGACACCACTGAGGGGTCCATTATAACTGAAATAAATTTAATTGAATTACATCTAGATTTTTTCAAAACAAATCTAATTGCCAAAATAATGGAGACTTACCAGCATTTGTGACATATCGGAGAAGCAGTTTAGATAATGAGTGTGAGCTGTTTTATCACTAGTGATATTCCCATCAGTGTTAGTGAGTGAATGAGCGAGTTGTGTTTAACGCCGCTTTTTAACTGTATTCCAGTCATATCACGGCGTGTCAGCTTAATGTGGGAGGAGAGCCCGTAGTGATGCAGGTCGTCAACGTTTAACACTTCGGTGAAACCCACGAGCACGGGTATGGTGCTGACAAATCTAGAAACATAATCGGGGCGAACCGGGATTCGAACCCACTATGATGAGAGCAACCGTGTCTTGATACCTAAAGTGTACAGCAACTTCATTACAACAAAGGCGAAATATTAGATTGTGTTTGTTCGATTGTTTGTTTTTTAACAACGTACTCAGCAATATACCAGCTATATGACGGCGGTCTGTACGATAACTAAGTCTGGACAGACAATCCAGTAATTGATATCATGAGCATCAATCGACGCAATTGGGATACAATGACACGCATTAACCCAGTCAGCGAGCCTGACCACCCGATCCCGTTAGTCGTCTCTTACAAGCTTGGGTTACTGAAGACCTAATCAACCCGGATCTTGACGGTACGCGAGATATTAGAAGCCACAACCACTTCCAATAAGACCTCTTTCCAGTACTATCTTCTGAAGGAATTCGAAATTCTTCAATGACATCAAGGACAAGTTAATTGCATGGATGGGAGATAACAACCCTGGTTAAAATCATTCCTAATTAAGACTAAGATTGCACTTTTGTCGATTTATCAAGTACAGTTTACATGTCAACTTTACCAATAAAACAATTATCACTGCCCCCAAAAATAAGTTTTTCTTTCTTTGAAAATCACACACTTCGTGAAATTGTCTTCTACATATTACGATTTGTCAAATAAATCTTTTCTTATTAATAACCTCATTAACATTGCTGTATTGATACTTGAGAGAATAATTCCTATGACAACCACGAATGACAACCACGAGGGAATATAACTAAAACAAATTGTCACAGGGAATATGTAACATCAGGAAATATGTATAATCCCTGAAATTATCAGGGAATATGTATATTAAGTGAAAATGTTATGCATAATATATATTCTCTGCGTGAATCAGACATTGCATATAATCCCAGAAGATTTCAGTGATTATATGTATTGCCTCATTTTACATATACCTAGCTACATATATTTAGATATATGTTATAACTGGAATAACACTTTTTTGAGTAAAGTACGGATTCTCGTACCTTTTGGGGTTGAGTCCATCCAGGATTCGAACCTGTACTGCCTGAGTGAGGAACCTAATTGCAAGCACACATTGTTAGCGACCTTATCCACTCAGCCACAAAAATTAAAGTCCGACAACTGGTCGTCTAGATCACGTACCTTGTGTAACACTGTGACACGTGGCACGGCTCCCATGACAGAGAGCTAAAACACACACACAATGCCATTTAGAAAGTGATCAGATGTGTTGTTATGTATATATATAAACAGAACATTAATGTTTCAGATGTTTTGAAGAACTCGAACGCCCTCTTATCATCTCTTAAGACGCAGACAGCTAGTCTATCATCTGCTCCGGGGTACGGAAATAGCCCTGCTGAACCGGAGGTATTGATACTCATGTATTGTTATTTGTTCTTGTTGAATTAGTTATTAAGAGACAGGATCCAATGTGAATGCGATGCATTAACGTGCTGATATGTACGAGTGAATTAGTTGGGTTTAACTCCGCTTTTAACAGTATTCCAGTTATATCGCGACGTGTCAGCTTAATGTGGGAGGAAAGCACGAAGTGATGCAGGTCTCAGAAGTTTACCACTTTGGTGAAACCCACGAGCACTGGTACGGTGCGGACAAACCTGGAAACATAATCAGGGCGAACCGGGATTCAAACCCACGATCATAGCTTTCTGGCGTGCCCAAGAGACGCAACTCTGCACAGCGAATCGCGGCGCCCTAGACGACTGGGTCACCTGATGTACGAAATACATTCCTGATGTAACAAACGTAATTATGATGCAGTTGAAAATGCATGTCACTTCCTTTTAGTATGTCCAGACCGCCTCCGTGGTAGAGCGTCCCCCCGGATTGCGGAAGTTCCGGGGTTCGATCCCGAGCCGCGTCATACCAAAAGACGTTAAAAGACGGTTCTTGTTGTTACCCTGTCTGGCGCCCGGCATTAAGGGGCTAAAACAAGGACTGGCCGGATCGGAGTCAGTGTACTGTGTCTGAGTGGGGTATTCATGTTAAACTGCGGTATCCCAGTGTGCTAGCACAATAAATCGGCATCAGTCCGGATTAGTACAAGCATCCACACACACACACACACACACACACACACACACACACACACACACACACACACACACACGCACGCACGCACGCACGCACGCACGCACGCACGAACGCACGCACGCGCTATATAAGTGCAATAATCTTGCACGCGAAGTTAAACCCAATTTCACCTCACCTAGTATGTCCATACTGTACACAGAGATTCTCACCCTCGTGTCTTTTGAGATCAAATATATCAACAGGTGTTGAGGGTGAGATTTTATATATTATCCAACAGCATTCTTCCAACTTTTTTTCAGTTTTTCACAATCGTCAGCAGAGCATTGTGATGCAATTTCATTGCAGCGATATCTACAATGTAGATATCGCGTGATCTCCCCCAAGCGATATCTCCCGTGGCAGTTTTGGATGATAAAAAAAATTCTCAGTCCAAGTTATTTTCATGTACATCAATTAAGAACGAAATATATCATTTGACCACTATAATGATATAATGCGGCATACATGAAAGTTTCTTGCTCTACACTTAGCGAAATCGTCCTGTGTAAGTACTATTCAGAATACCGTGAAAACGTATAATATTTGTTCATCAGACCAACATTGTATTTATCGCTTGAACTTTAAATCATGCCTCCTATAATGTTTTCGAAAACTCTGAACGGAGTATTCATGATGTTTATTTTATTTTTTATAATACTAAATAAACAGGTCTTGTACATGTCTTGCCAATGGTGATGAGGATGGCGCTGAAGAAAGGTTCACGCATAATGTCGTAAAGTTTCCCATTAAAAGCCTAAAAGGGGCCTTAGACATTTGAAGGAAATACGGAATTGATTAATTTAAACTTATACTGAATGTGATTGTAAGGTATACCTAACGTCAGTTTGCAAGAATACAACAAGCTTGCATCTGAAAATACGTCCCATACTGATAAGGAGATAAACAAAGATTCATATGACTATGAAATGATTTCGCCACTTATTTGTATTGAATATTCAATGCTAATAAGTTGTACTTTATGCTGACTTTAATTGCCTAGACAATCGCCTCTTAATATCAACGCGTATGCATGTAAATATATTCTTGTCATGTCTACAAATAAATGGTCGCTTCAATGTGGAGGTAACTGAACGTGACAGACACCAGATCAACACATTAAACATACATACGCTTGATGTGCTTCTCGAAGCATGAATTTCACGACCACATTATTAAAATACAAATGCTTAGAAATACCTCCTTTAAAGAACCGATGGCTTACAAAAGACTGACCACAACAACAGCTGAGCTTGGAATTTTCATTGCCCACGCAACTTAAGAGCCATCAGATAATGGGTTTTTCAAAATGTCTGCTCGATTATTGAGGGCATCACATTAATGACTGCCCGTAGCTTTGTTATCTCTACTCATCAGGCAATGGGATTTTCCTCACTGTCAAATACGTAACGAGAGTAGTTTTGGTGGAATAATGAATTTTAAATCCCAACCTCGGCCCACCTGTATCAACCAATCGAACATCCCTCCATCCCCTCCATCCATTCCTCCATTCCTCCATCCATCCAACCAACCTTCTATCCATCTGTCCAACCAACCTCCCATTCAACCATCCATCCATCCATCCATTTAGATGTATCTATCTAACCAACCTTCCATCCATCTATCCAACCAACTTTCCGTCACCCAATCAATATATTGATCAGTCAGCATATGCCAACACAATCTCCTTCCAGAAGACATGCAGCGGCCATAAAATGTCCCGTGATGGGATTCGAACCACGGACATTCTGATCCGAGGTTGGACGCCTTGTCCACATGACCAAAGAGGTTAACCCCGTCAGCAAGCTGACAAGGTAAGGATGTCATCTGTGGGATGACTCCACGCCCTGCTACACTTACATGGGTGTCCTTCCAGGTTTATCTAGACATGATTCTGTTTAAACGGGTTTCCTTCATGGGATCTCCTTTCAGAGGTCTGCTTACAGTGGTCTCCTTACACTTGTCTCCTTTCAGAGGTCTACTTACAATGGTCTCCTTTCAGGGGTATCTGCTCAGAGGTCTACTTTTAGCGATGTCCCCTATAGAGGTCTCCTATCAGAGGTCTGCTTACAAAGGTCTCCTTTCAGGGTATCTGTTCAGAGGTCTACCTTCAGTGGTGTCCTTTCAGAGGATTTCCTTTCAGAGGTCTGCTTACAGTGGTCTCCTTACACTTGTCTCCTTTGAGATGTCTGCTTACAATAGTCTCCTTTCAGGGTATCTGTTCAGAGGTCTACTTTCAGTGACGTCCCCTACAGAGGTCTCCTTTCAGAAGTATCCTTACAGTAGTCTCCTTTCAGATGTCTGCTTACAATGGTCTTCTTTCAGGGTATCTGTTCAGAGGTCTACTTTCAGTGGTGTCCTTTCAGAGGTCTGCTTTCAGAGGTCTGCTTTCAGAGGTCTGCTTTCAACGGTCTGCTTTTAGAGGTCTGCTTTCAGAGGTCTGCTTTTAGAGGTCTGCTTTCAGAGGTCTGCTTTCAGAGGTCTGCTTTTAGAGGTCTGCTTTCAGAGTTCTGCTTTCAGAGGTCTGCTTTTAGAGGTCTGCCGACAAAGGACTGTGTACTGTGGTCTCTTGACAAAGGTCTACTCACAGTGGTCCCTTGACAGTTCTGCTTACAGTGGTCTACCTGCAGTGGTCTCTGTTCAGCGGTCTGCTTACAGAGGTCCCCTTTTAGAGGTCTCAGTTTGAACTAGACTTCCCAAAGAGCTTGTGGACACAATATAGGAGTTATAACATACACATTTTCCTAATTTGATTATCGACGACCTCTGATGCAGTTCATGGTCAAAACGGATATGTCATAACCTGTATATAATTATTCACCGAAGTGGTAAACGTCTAAGACCTGCATCACTTCGGGCTTTCCTCTCACATTAAGCTGACACGCCGCGATACTGTTAAAAGCGGCGTTAAACCCAACTCACTCAATGTATATAATAAAATCATAGAAAATTATGCTACCAAAGTGGCAACATAGGGGTCTGTCATGAACAAAAATGACAGTTCTATTTTTTATACTTTGTGATGAGAGTGGTCAATGTTAAAAAAATGTTACACGTATTTGTAGGGGGTGAGGGCATGAAACAGAGTTACATTAAATGGTGGTGGTAGTGGGGGGTATGGGTGGGGTTGGGATTGGCAGCTAAAAATGGTACGGTCCTAAGACCAAGAACATAATTTCTGAATGCCGATGTTATGTTCACTTCCGGTTTTAATTACATTCGGTCTTCAGTCTCAGCCTTATGCTGTAAAAAGCGCAAATGCAAGAATACTGTGTTGCTGATGCCATTCTATTATGGAAGTTCTTCAATGCGTGAATGACCATTCCGCATGGCAAGTATAGAAGTACATATATAAATGAAAATCATTAATTTTATTAATGATTTTCATTTATATCTGTCATGAACATTAATTCTATTAATGATTTTCATTTAATCTGTCATGAACATTAATTTTATTAATGATTTTCATTAATGATTAACATTGACCACTCTCATCACAAAGTATAAAAAATAGAACTGTCATTTTTTTTCATGACAGACCCCTAGTTGCCACTTTGGCGGCATTATTTTCTATGATTTTATATTGAAATGTCGAGCATATGTCTCGTTATTTCAATAATATTATCATTTTTCTCAAAGTTTCAAGATTTCTCTCGTTCTTCGTGTGTGTGTATCTGAGTGTAGTGGGTCGGACCTGTTCACAGTGCTGGCCCAATGAGATACCATGCCGCAGTGTTACATGGATACCCACTCAGACATAGTATACTGGCTCTGGGCTGACCAGTCCTTGTTGTATCCCTTTAATGCCGAGCACCAGACAGGGTACCATGCCGCAGTGTTACATGGATACCCACTCAGACATAGTATACTGGCTCCTGGCCTACCAGTCCTTGTTGTATCCCCTTAATGCCGAGCACCAGACAGGGTACCATGCCGCAGTGTTACATGGATATCCACTAAGACATAGTATACTGGCTCTGGGCTGACTAGTCCTTGTTGTATCCCCTTAATGCCGAGCACCAGGCAGGGTACCATGCCACAGTGTTACATGGATACCCACTCAGACATAGTATACTGGCTCCGGGCCTACCAGTCCTTGTTGTATCCCTTTAATGCCAAGCACCAGACAGGGTACCATGCCGCAGTGTTACATGGATATCCACTAAGACATAGTATACTGGCTCTGGGCTGACTAGTCCTTGTTGTATCCCCTTAATGCCGAGCACCAGGCAGGGTACCATGCCACAGTGTTACATGGATACCCACTCAGACATAGTATACTGGCTCCGGGCCTACCAGTCCTTGTTGTATCCCCTCAATGCCGAGCACCAGACAGGGTACCATGCCGCAGTGTTACATGGGTGCCCACTCAGACATAGTGTACTGGCTCCGGACCTACCAGTCCTTGTTGTATCCCCTTAATGCCGAGCACCAGACAGGGTAACAACAAATACATCTTTAAGCGTCTTTTGGTGTGAGAAGGATTCGAACTACCAACCTTCCGCTCTCATGACAGATTGATGTCGGTTGCCATGGCAATTCTGGTAAACAAACACTGGCATGTCAAGTACTCAGTGTTTCAGTGTTTCAGTTTACTGTATAAGGACGTGTATTTATCTCATAATAGACACAGCAAATGTCATAATTAAGAAATGAATTTCATATTAAATTGTTTGATAGGCATTCCTTAGAAGTTGACGGATGACAAGATAGACACAAGACAAGTCTTGCTTGACAACGGTATGAGGATCTATACCGAAACGTCACTTTTCACAGTATTAAAGAAGTTGTTATCCATAAAATTGTGAATTTCATATTGTGTTGGTTTACAGGAGGGTTGAAAAGGATGGGCATATATGTCCCTCTGGCGTCCATGGGTTAATGCGAATATGTAAACAGGTGTTTTACTGAAACATTGTGTAAAAAGGAATGTTATTATCTTGTCCACTGATGCCTATCCTCCAGATCGTGGTAAGCAGGGAAACGAGACGGCAGAGTGATGTTCAATCCGGGGATTCCCCATGAAACGTAGCTCCGCTAAAAAAACGTGTAAACGTCAAAAGTGAATACTTTGTAAACGTCACTTTTTTAAGTTTGTTAACAAATGAACGGGCCATGTGAGCAGCGAATAAACCAATATACGAATTCGTATACAAATGCCCTGAAGCATAATTATTATCCTGGTCATTGGATCAGCGTGCTCTTCCTCGGGACTCACCATGCTAAGTTACCCTAAAGGCATGGCTTTGATGCCCGATGCAATTTTCTATTTTCACTTGTACCATATATGTTCCTGTGTGTTTTTTTCAGGTCAACATTTAACTTGCCTTTGCATGTGTTTGTGACGGGTGCCACTGGTGGGGCAGGATACGCTCACCTTTTCGCGAACACCTGATATCATCACTATTTGATTCATACCACATGCTCATATAGTCAGAATATATCTTCTTTCGAAAGTGATTTTTTATGAATAAGGAAAAGTTTTTGTTACATATATTTATTTGCATTCAAAATACCATCTCATCTTACCGGGTACCCATTCTCTGTTTGAAGAACAGGGGAATGTTTCAAGAAGTCATTTGCTTAAGATACAGTACATGCATTTTGAACGTATGACAGTGGAGCAGATACAAATTGGCATTATCAACTCCTGACATACTTAATGAAGACTACCCTATGTAACAGTGTTGGTGTCTATGCCATGTCATGTCATGCCATGTCATGTCATGTCATGTTCGCTGAGAAAATGGGGAACTATATATGAGCAATATTGTGTAATTGAGTTACATCTGTATCGTGTGAAAATTATGAACTAAACACCGTAAGTAATACCAATAACATTTCTACACTTTGGAAATTTTCATGACATAGTTAATTATTGACATTAATTGCATAATGACAGCTTCTACCCGAGAAAGAAGCAGTACTGGAGAAGGTAGCCCAGAGCGTCGTCGTCCTTGGCAGCGTTGTTCTGAAGGACAAGGATGATGGGAGGTTTGACCTCAACACCGACACCGTCAACGTGTCCTATACAAAAGCATCAGCGGAAGAGTTGACAAAGGAGGATGAAGACGATGAGATTCAGCTTCCTGAAAGTCTGGTGGACATTGTAGGAAACAATGAGCTCGTCCTAACGGTACGGTTTGGCGCCGAGAGTTTGTCCAGCAGGGTATCCCTTAGGTCAGTGAGTGAGTAAGTATGGTTTTACGCCGCTTTTAGCAATATTCCAGCAATATCATGGCGGGGGACACCAGAAATGGGCTTCACACATTGTACCCATGTCGGGAATCGAACCCGGGTCTTCGGCGTGACGAGCGAACGCTTTAACCACTAGGCTACCCGACCGCCCCCTCAGGTCAGTGTCCACATGACAGTCGAGTGACAAACACCTGGCAGCACTCGTAGACCTTATGATAATTTTCATTTTTGATGTTCAAGTATATATCGTGATATATCAATGGATAAGGTAGATGTATGATTATCTTGAATATCGAGGTCGGATACTCATTAAGTATTTCTATGAACCATATATATGTTTATGAAAGGAAATCGATGTCATAAATTAGCGGATATATTATATCTAAACAGTCATAGGTTACTCAGTGCCGAAGATGTTTTAATCTCAAATTTTAATCTTTATCAGCAGTTGTGCATTGAGCGATTTTTGTGTGATATATTAATTTTTTATGCAAATTATACTTCAAAAGATGCAGAAGTATTCTTTGGATGCTGACCAAGCGACAGGAAAATGCATGTGTTTTTTTAAAATAATCTCCCCCCAAAAAAGAAACGCATTAAGCAGAAGGAGGCAAGACAAGAGGAGAGCTCATTGTAATGCGTATCTTCAAGGTTCGCAATTTTAATGAAACAAAAAAACTGACGAACCTAGTGCTTTTTCGGGGCAAATTAGGGATTCAAACCCACGATCATTAGTTTCTGACACGCCCAAGGGACTCCACTCTGCATAGCGAAATGCGTCAGCTTCAACAATTTAAGTATTTGTGACATCCTCTATTTGAAATTCACTTTGCGCGATTAGGCTGACACAGGCCATGTATACAGAACTTACTGGTAGCGTTTCTTTGTCCACGCCGACAACACACATGGCCAGCAAGAGGTGGAAGATGGTGATTGTATTGGTGCTGAATATAAATAAATGTAGTTGTTTGACGGCGACCACCATATCCGGGCGGCTTTGAGTCATTGTCATGCGTCGCCGTGAGTTGTTGCTCATTCTATCGATCACTGGTTTAAATGATCCAGGCTGCTTCATAATCGAGCCCTTGGCGAGAGCCTTAACCAAAGTGCGCATGGTTTAGCTGATTCTTTAGGTGTCATCATACCGGAAGCACATGCACATCCACTATCGCTTTTGACACAGTACAGTTGATTCAATTCCATTAATGTAAAGATTTAAACAGGATGTTTTTTGCAGTAACATGTACACATATAGTTTATTCACTGATATGTTCGTCCTTTTAAATCATTCATCTTCTATTCATAACTACTCATTTTTCTACAGAAAATGAAACTCGACAAAGACCTATACGATCATTCGACGGAGCAGATATCAGTGTCAGGTCCAGTCGTTCGCATTGCCTTGACAACAAAAGATGGTAGCCCGGTTCAACGTGTGGACCCTGATGGACCAATCACATTGTCCATAGATGCGGAGTCCAGTGGTCCTTTTAATCAGATGGAGCTTCACCAAGACGGATCCACATTGGCAGCAGTACAGCGTGTTCCGCTAGATGGACAAGCACCAGTGATCATTGTTGAGTTTGAACTACCTTCAGATATGAATGTGGTGCTCAGAGGACGGTTTGGGGAACTACCAAGGACGTATGAGAGGCACTTTGAAGCGATTGCCAGCGATGGAGTGACGGAGATTCTAAAGCACAAACATGTCAACTTTCAACTCTACGACGGAGAACTGGTTTTGTTTATAAAGGATCCAGCCTCCCTTCCCAGCGCCGTTTACCTTGTGTTGCACTATGGCGGTGAGTAACAAAGCCCTGGTCCGACAAACGTAAACTGGATGTAGCCTGAATGCCGGATGACCGTAAACTGACCAGAGACTGATCTAAGAGTGACTGTAGACTGGCCAGTGACTGACTGTAGACTGGCCAGTGACTGACTGTAGACTGGCCAGTGACTGACCTGAGACTGACCAAAGACTGACTGTAGACTTGCAATAGACTGGCCACAGACTGACCACAGGCTGACCATAGACTGGCCAGTGACTGACCATAGACTGGTCATAGACTGACCAGTGACTGACCATAGACTGACCATAGACTGGCCAGTAACTGACCTGAGACTGACCATAGACTGACCATAGACTGGTCATAGACTGACCATAGACTGACTGTAGACTGACCATAGACTGACCATAGACTGACCATAGACTGACCATAGACTGACCATAGACTGACCAGTGACTGACCTGAGACTGACCATAGACTGACCATAGACTGGTCATAGACTGACCATAGACTGACCATAGACTGACCATAGACTGACCTGAGACTGACCATAGACTGGTCATAGACTGACCATAGACTGACCATAGACTGACCATAGACTGACCATAGATTGTCCATAGACTGGCCATAGGCTGACTGTAAACTGACCACTTGTTGACTGTAGACTGACCATAGACTGACTGTAGACTTGCAATAGACCGACCACTGGTTGACTGTAGACTGACCATTGACTGACTGTAGACTTGCAATAGACTGACCACTGGTTGACCATAGACTGGCCATAGACTGGCCACAGACTGACTGTAGACTTGCAATAGACTGACCACAGGGTGACTGTAGACTGACCATAGACTGACTGTAAACTGACCACAGGCTGACTGTAGACTGACCATAGACTGACCCATAGGCTGGCCACAGACTGACTTAGACTGGCCATTGACTGATTGACGACTGGCCATAGACTGAGCATAGACTGTATAGACTGACTGTAAACTGACTATAGACTGACCATAGCCTGACCATAGACTGGCCATCGAATGAGCATAAACTGACTTTAGACTGACTGTAGACTGACGATAACATGACTACAGACTGACTGTAGACTGGCCATAGACTGACCATAGACTGATTGTAGACTGACTGTAGACTGGCCATAGATTGACTGTAAACTGACGATAACATGACTACAGACTGATTGTAGACTGGCCATAGACTGAGCATAGAACGACCGTAGTCTGACTATTGGGAACTGTAGAATGAATGATGACCGTCTGTAGTGGACTGTAGTATATTGTCAGCGCAGGTCGCTTCGTTACGGGTATCTCAGTTGCCAAAATGCTTGCTCATCATCCCAGAGACTGGGATTCGTCACAGGAGTACAAAGTGTGAAACCAATAATATGTATGCTATCCTTGTGGTTCTTAACCTTCTATTATGTTGGAAACATTGCTGACAGTAGCCTATAACAATAGGTCAGAAGATTATAGAATTAATAAGCAAGAGAATATATGGATGTCAACTTCTTTATTATGAGGAACACAATGTTTCGGAGTATATGCTTACTCCTTCATCAGGTGAATTAACGCCATGAGGCAGAGAGCATATATATGTACATGAAAGGACAACAAAATTACAAAAGGTGGAAAATAACAAAGGGTACAAACTAACAAGGGAAGCCAACAGATGATTGGCGCTGATAGGTGATTAGCAAATTGTGTCCTCCTTACATGTGCATATATATGCTCTCTGCCTCATGGCATTCATTCACCTGATGAAGGAGTAAGCATATACTCCGAAACGTTGTGTTCCTCATAATAAAGAAGTTGACATCCACATATTCTCTTCCTTATGTGTATCACTTCTAAATGCCTTTGACTTGCCTTATAGACTTGCTCTTCGTAAGAGTAATATAGAATACTAAACGAGCTCCCGTGTAATACCAATTTTATGAAACGAGTGAATAGTTGTGGTATCTGACGAGCGAAAGCGAGTCAGATACCATAACTATTAACGAGTTTCATAAAATTGGTTTTACACGGGAGCGAGTTTAGTATTTTATTTATTACTGGCCATTTATAACGTTTTTAGAATTATACTGTTGAGTGTGAATAGGCTGACACCTACACGATCCACGGCATAATCCAATTGAGTTTTACACAGTAATACTTCAAACACGTCAAAAGTTGAAACGTATGAATTTAATACCAGACAACAGTCCACCTTTAGAATTCAGGCGTCCGTTCCACAAAATTATCGTAGCGTTAAGGTTATCGCAACTCATATACTTTAACTTAGACCAACGACTGTCGTCGCGCTACCGTACGATCGCCTTGTGGAACGGGGCCTTGCACCTCAAAGTTTACAATCACGTCACAATAACCGATGACGTAATTTGTGGAATTTTGTTGCAAGATCCTTTAGGCGAAACAATGCCATGTGACGTCAACCTAGCAACAAGGTTGCTGGGGTCATCGAGTGTGCATAAGCTCCTCTCAGTGATCTATCATCTCCACACGCAATGTCGTTGAATAAGCCAAGGGATGTTGAGAGCTTTCAAAATTTGTGAAACGTGTTCCGAGAGTACATAAGCACGCGTTTTGGTATTACACAATGTGTAATACAGCTGTATGTTTATTAAACGGGTGATCTCTTCACGGGCAAGTAATAAAAAGAATTATGTCATCGCAATTGCAACAGAAAACCCACTGCACTACTGTGTCTGCTTACACGCACCTGCTCGGCCTCGACAGCGGAATGTGTATGTGGACGTACTCACACCTAGAAGCACACGCCAAACAATTAAACTAAAATATCACATCATGCAAAGACAATTACAAAAGCTTCCGTGTATGTATGTGCGCGCATGTGTTTGTGTTTATCCATACTGCACGTCACTGGAATTTGTCATCCCTTGTCTTCAGAGCATATCGTTCCCAACATTTAAAACGTACAATGTATGTGTACCCAATGCCATTCAGGTTCAATTCTTTCACGACCAAAATATCAACATTAACTTTACAGCATATATCATCGTACACGACAAGGGTTTTTGTAGTGGGACCTTCTGGGTTGAATAGATATATAATTATTTTCCTAGTAGAGAATAATGGACACGAGGGAATTATTTGTAAGGATTTGCGACCAGAGTGTCATTAATGATAAATACTGCGTTTGGATGAAGCATCTCTTGAGAGATGACAGTTGGACTACAGAGCTAAATATTCACGGTCTGTTACAGAGGATTTGTTAATTGATCAATGCTAGGAAATGGTCCCACAAAGCGGGTCCCATGAAATGCACTACACGGGTGGTTTGACTTAACCCTTACAATATAGCCGGCTTTTAAAACGATTGCCGCGTGACTGGTCAATTATTGATAGGGAGTACATTACACTCAGTGTACAAATGGCCTATTTGAAATAAGGACGCGAGTGACATCTGATCATGACAGATGAACGCGAGATGAGTCCAATCCTATTGGGGCACAGATTATTTATTTATTTGATTGAATTGCTAATTTTGCTGATTTGTGATCATGCACCTACAAAACAAAGTTTCGAGATGTGTTCATATGTGGGTATTTCACAAATATAGACTTTCAACACGTTTAGCTGTTAAACACGATTCTAAAGCATGTTTAGACCCTAAACGCGTCAACATGATAGGACAAGGGATGTGTTTAGGTTCGTGTTTAGGATCTAAGCACCTGTTTTTCAGTGAAGAAGGGGGCTGTGCACTTCGCTGAGCAGTGTTGCGCCCCGGTTCGCCCCCAGTTAGTTTCTGGGTTTGTCGGCACTATACCTGCACTCGCGGGTTTCACCAAAGTGGTAAACGTTTGCGACATGTGTCACTTCGAACTTTCCTCCGACATTAAGCTGACACGCCGTGATAACCTGAATACTGTCCAAAGCGGTGTTAAAACAAACTCACTCACTAACACTACAGTGAAGAATGTCTGGTCCAGACTCACAGGTTGACATCATATAGCTAATGCTGAATGCGGCGTTAAACAACAAACAAACAAACAAACAAACAAACAAACAAACATGAAACCTAACATTACATTAAGGAATATATTTCAGACCACGGAATGTTACCCTCGTATAAATATTACATTCACTCACTAAATCATGTAGCCTACATTTATCAATCATATATGTTACCTTTAACAATCCTGTAGGCTACCTTTATCAAACATGTTGGCTACCTGTATCAATCATATATGTTACCTTTAACAATCCTGTAAGCTACCTTTATCAATCATGTTGGCTATCTTTATCAATCACGTAGGCTGTATTACTTAATCATGTGGGCTACCTTTATCAATCATGTAGGCTACCTTTATCAATCACGTAGGCTATATTTATCAATCATGTAGGCTCCGTGTGTCAATCACGTTGGCTATATTACTCAATCATGTAGGGTACCTTTATCAATCACGTAGGCTACCTTTATCAATCGCGTAGGCTTTATTTATCAAACATGTAGGCTATATCTATTAATCACGTAGGCTATATTACCCAAAATCATGTAGGCTACCTTTATCAATCATGTAGGCTACTTTTATCAATCGCGTAGACTTTATTTATCAATCACGTAGGCTATATTACTCAATCATGTAGGCTACCTTTATCAATCATGTAGACTACTGTGATCAATCGCGTAGGCTTTATTTATCAATCGCGTAGGCTATATTCATCCATATAGTAGGTATAAATAGTAGAAAATCACTCACCAAATCACTCAATGTCCAAGTCCACAACGCCGAAGACCCGGGTTCGATTCCCGACATGTGTACAATGTCTGAAGCCCATTTCTGGTTACCCAGCCGTGATATTCCTGGAATAGTATAAAAAGCGGTGTAAAAACCTTACTCACTCACTCACTCCACGACCACAACAGTCAATCTTGTGGGCTGCTATAACAAATTACGTAGGCTACTATTGACAACACCTTCGGCTAAAATCCCCAATCATGTAGGCTTTTTTAATTAGGCAATAGGTAATAATACTACCTTCAGTTACTCGCATAATCCAGTAGGCATATAAACTAAGGGGCAAAAGAAAGTATACAGAGTTGAAAAATATGTTGTTTAATTTGATTATGTCTATTTGACTATCACTCATTCCTGCAAGAATTTGTAAAAAGTAAAATGGGCTGGGGTATTTTGTGTAAAAATAAATTGATTCAATGAAGACTGGGTTCAGAAATAAATTTGCCACCACTGGACCCCCACCATGTTTGACATGTTGTACACTGACTGGTATCGTCGTCCCATGGAAGCAATCAGATCCCGAATTGTGGCCTGGGGAATATTCACCAACTTTGACTGCAGTCCTTGTGCCAACTGTCGTAGGTTCTGTGGTTGTTGCTGACGTGCTCGCAGTCGTTGATCCAGTGCACCCCATACATGTTTGATTGGGTTTAAATCTGGAGACCTGGAGGGCCATGATAGGACCTATGTTGTATTTCCTGAAAAAAGCTTTTGTCAGTCTCTCCGTGTGAGGTCGGGCGTTGTCTTCTTGGAAAAATTACGCTCGTTTGCTGCATGATGGGAAGGAAGAATGAAGAATCTCATCCATGTAACGTTGTACTGTTATATTCACCAGAACGTGCACCAAGTCTGGTCTACCAGTGTAGGAGATGGCTGCCCACATCATCACACTACCACCGCCTTGTCACTAAACTAAACTTGTCTCTATCACAGTTGTGGCCATACTCTGTGACCTTGACACCATAGCAGACCGTCATAATGATACCTCGATAAGCGCATAAACGTTTGTCTCGTGTGTCTGATAACGTTTCCACAATCTTGTAATGGTGCTTGATGGTACGTCGAAAAGCCTGGCTACCTCATTCTTTCCACACAAATCAATCCCAATCCATGCAGAAATGAGTAATTCATTTTTGGTATTAAGTGTGTATGGATGTCGGCAATACTGTGTCAGATATTTACGATTTTACTACTTTTGTGTTTCTGTTTTTGAAGATTTTATGTTAAAATGTCTAACCAAATAATACTTAAATCAATAAAACTATGTAGAAGCAGAGTACATCCAGATCGCCAGGTTTGAACACAAATGAGCATCTTTGGGATGTACTCGCCCGATGTCTACGACAGCGTCAACCACAGCCTGCAACACTTGATAAACTGGCTCGAAAACTGGAGGAATGGAGGACTCCAAAGGCCAGAATTCAGAGACTAATACAGTCTAGACCTTGCCGTGTGATTATGCAAGCAAAGAACAGTGGTTCACACTCTATAATGCATTAAAATAAACCAATTAACGATGCAACTTTCCGCTATATGGCTAACTTAAGATATGTTCAATTGCAAATCAAACATATGATACAATCAACAGGTACAGTTACTTTTGCCCCCCAGTTTATATCCGATACTATAGTTTGCTGTAACCATTCAATTTTGAAGGCGATTCAGTCAATCGTGGAGGCTACACTCATGAACCATGTAGGATCTCCCATCAGAAAACGTATCCATCAATATCAGCATCCACGGGGCTAATTAAACATCATTTAGTTTAATAAACAGTTGCTTCATGTTCTTTAAAAATATGTGTGATCAATCAAGTATTAAGCACTGGGTTCTTCACTCGGAATGGTACGACCTTTTTTGCCTTCAAAGACTTAAGTGACTGCTCCGACAAATTAACGGTCCCAGCATGATTGTATCAAGTCGTTCAAGCATCCAAAATTTGGTATATCAATTCCACAGTTACTGATTACTCCAATTGAAGCCATAAATATATAACGTCAATGATAGAGAGTAACCAGTCTCAATTATCCGACGACACAGAATCCATTGGGTGTAAACGGCAGGATGTAAACTTGTTTGTTTGTTTGTTGTTTTACGCCGCACTCAGCAATATTCCAGCTTTGTGACGACGGTCTGTAAATAATCGAGTCTGGACCAGATAATCCAGTGATTGACATCATGAGCATCGATCCACGCAAAGCATGTAAACTAACCAGACCAGCAGCCCATTCATATTGAAGCTTCAAAGGCCTACGCAAATATATTTCACTACCATGTTTTGTATTTCAAGTCATCCTAGTAAGTCTAAATTCCGAACAATACATCCTTGCATCGAACATGTTTCAGTCATATACGGGGCTTCCCACCAGTTGGTATCATGTCCGTGACACCTATATACTTATCTTATATTATATTTAAGCCACATAAGAAATATTACCATGTTTGTTTTGTTTCAGAACGCAGTAACAGCAGAAAACGTCGCTCGGCCTCAAGGCCCAAAATGCGAACGAGATCGCTGACACCAAAAGTATGGAACACACAAAAGATTGCATGGGAAGATAACTCTAACGTTCTGGTAGGACACTACTGGTAGTAGTAGTAGTAGTAGTAGTAGTAGTAGTAGTAGTAGTAGTAGTAGTAGTAGTACTAGTACTAGTAGCAGCAGCAACAACAATAGTATCAGTATTTGTAAAGTAGTAGTTATAGTTATAGTAATAGTAGTAGTAGTAGTAGTAGTAGTAGTAGTAGTAGTAGTAGTAGTACTAGTACTAGTAGCAGCAGCAACAACAATAGTATCAGTATTTGTAAAGTAGTAGTTATAGTTATAGTAATAGTAGTAGTAGTAGTAGTAGTAGTAGTAGTAGTAGTAGTGGAAGTAGTAGTAGTAGTAGTAGTAGTTATAGTAGTAGTAGTAATAGTAGTAGTAGTAGTAGTAGTAGTAATACTGGTATTAGTAGTAGTAGTAGTTATAGTAGTAGTAGTAGTAGTTGTAGTAGTAGTAGCAGTAGTAGTAGTAGTAGTAGTAGTAGTAGTAGTAGTAGTAGTAGCAGTAGTATTAGTAGTAGCAGTAGTAGTATCATGTTGTCTAGTGAAAGAGGGCACGCAACTATTCATTAATAACTACTCCGCTATCTCTGTGTACATGTGTTATTTCTGCTGTGGTATGCTATATATGGATTGTATACTGTTTATTGATTGATTTGTCTCATGACAAATGAACTGTTTAAAGAATTACACTTATTTAGAATGTAAGCTTAAGCATTATAGCACACCTTCAGTTATTCAATGCCCCTGTGGAGATCCGGGTTAGAATTGATCCCTAGCAACCTAAGCTGATCGTAAGAGGTCGCCGTCATATAGCTGGAATAGTCCTGGATGCGGCGTTAAATAACATACATACAAATAAACGTTCCTGGTGCATGCTGTAACACATTGATCTTTGTGCGAATCCCCGATCGCGTCATACCAAATGACGTAAAAGGTGGTACTTGTTGTTACCCTGTCTGGCTATCGGCATTAAGGGGCTAAAACAAGGACTGGTAGGCTCGGAGTCAGTCTGAGTCGGGTATTCATGTTAAATTGCGGCATAGTTTCTTAGTGAGCTAGCACTATATATCGGCATCAGTCCGGACTAGTACAAGCAGCCACACATACATACACGTGCATACACGTCGCTATAAGTGCAACATCTTGGACGCGGCGTCAAACCCAATTTCACCTCACCTCTCACCTTTGTGCAAACAGGTTACTGGTTTAGCTAAAACTGGGAAAGTCAAGTTTACGTCAAACTTTTTCGGGACGTTCGCTCTTAATGAAGTTGTCATAGCTCCGACCCCCATCGACTTCAACCGGCTCTTCCTGGACATGGAGACCTACATCCGAGACAGCCCATATGTTCTTGCAGTCAACTGTTTCCTCGTTGCCATGACAATAATGGTAGCTATCTTCCTCCGAAGAATTGACGAAACTGACAAGGAACTGGTAAGTCTTTGAAAGGCATTTAGAAGTGAGTGAGTGAGTATGGTTTTACACCGCTTTTAGCAATATTTCCAGCAATGTCACGGCGGGGAACACCAGAAATGGGCTTCACACATTGTACCCATGTTGGGATTCGAACCCGGGTCTTCGGCGTGCCGCATTTAGAGGTGCACATAAGGAAGAGAATTTATGGATGTGAACTTCTTCATTATGAGGAACACAACGTTTGGGAGTATACACTTACTCCTTCATCGGATGAATAATCAGGAAAACATTATGCATCTGCTATAGGAGAAAGTACATACTCCGAAACGTAGGTCAGAAGAGCAATTATAGAATTAATAAGGAAGAGAATATATGGATGTCAACTTCTTTATTATGAGGAACACAACGTTTCGGAGTATATGCTTACTCCTTTATCAGGTGAATGAATGCAACGAGGCAGAGAGCATATATATGTACATATACATATATGTTATGCATATTGTTATATACATGACTAGTAAACGTTTAGGTAGTTGGAACGCTGTATGTCCAGTCATTCACTCATTGTAACTGTATAGGTCCTTTCAGAGGCACTTCATCAGCATGTGAATTTTAAGCCCTTCGCTTCCTCATACCATGTCAAAATTGTTTTATTAAATCAGACATAAAACGCTGGAAATTAAATAATTATTGCTGCAATGTATACACATCTTAGGCCCCGACAAATAAATTACTTGTTGAAGTCATCACCTCTAGTTGTCAAAAATGGTATTTCAGATGTGCGTGATTGCATGGCTATAACGTGTTAGAAGCCCGTGACCAAGGGTTCGAATCCCAATTCGTCTTGATTATAGTTCTAGGTTTTTCATGACCACAACCCTGCTCTTCGGTTTAACCAAACCGCCTGAGACATAGATACTTCAGGTTTTCACGTCAAGCAGATATAACTGAAATACTGTTAGTGGCGTTGAACCAAACATACTGGCTGACTCACTCACAAATGAAATTACTGCCAATGAAGACGAACCCCCCTTCTCAAGGTTCTAAAAAATGTAAAACATTCCAAATTGTAAGAACGCTGAACCCGTGAAGATCGAGCTTAGAATTGGTATTCAGCAACCCAGCCTCTTACGAGGCTACTAACTGGATAGGGTAGTCAGGCTCGCTGACCTGGTTGATGCATGTTATTATTTCCATATTGCGTAGATCGATGTACATGATATCAATCACTGGATTGTCTGGTCTAGACTCGATTATTCACAGGCCGCCGTCACCCTGCCGAGAAACTCTCCTGTTCTTGTTTCCATCACTAATGTGCGTCATGTACCTTCATCTGTTCCCAGTGGCGTTATCTCCACCTGCTTGACAACGTCAACGGCGCCACCTACTGCTACAGTCTAAGTGTACACACGTCACTCAGATCGCCACGCCACTTGACGTCGACGCCATGTTTCATCCTCCATGGCAAAGATGGCAAAACGAAATCCAGAATACTGACAGATGGACAACGAAAGGTACAGCTAACGTACAGTGTGAATGTTTGTTGGTTGACCATTTTCTAATACAACAATGACGTGCGTTTTCTGTTCACAATAACATAGTTAGCTCGAATTGACATAATATGCTGAAGCGGTCACTGTTGGCAAGGCCGTCTGGGGTCCCAATTCATTCTCAGAGTTGCGCCCCTTACGCGTGCTAGAAACCAATGATAGTGGATTCGAATCCCAGATTCCCACTAAATATTTTTCTGTTTGTCATCACCTAGGGTTTCGTCGAAGTTTTAAGCATTAAGATCAGCGTCAATTCGGGCTCATCTGTTACATTAAACTAACAAGCGAATGCTAAAAATGAAAAGTGGCGTTAAACCAAACTCACTCCTTCATACAGAACTTCTTGCCGGGAACAGTGTCAAACTTCTACATGACGACGGAAAGCAGACTTGGTGCACTGACGCACCTCAAGGTGTGGCATGACGACAAAGGTGACGTAACCAAGTGGCACATCGACAGGATTGTCGTCATAGATCTGCAGACAAACGACAGGTATGTAATCACAACGTGGGACACTCAACACAGACATATCAATATACATCTATAGTTTAATTGAACATGAAAAAACATGGGAGCCACCCCATGAAAAAACATATTTGACCCTACCCTCAAAGTCGCTGTAATTCGCTGTGCGGAGCTGCACCCTTGAAGCGTTTCAGAAACCCATATTTCATGGTTCTAATACCAGATTCCCTTGAATATGTTTGTTGGTTTGTCAACACCATACCAGTCCTTATAACTTCGGGCACTCCTACCTCATCAAGGTTCTAAAACGATTTTGTAAATAAAAGCAACGAAAGCCTCAATACGTCGATTGTACGATACAGACTATATTATGAGCATGTGTTATTGAATCACAATGAAATAGTGATGATACAATGTGTCCGTTCCCACCGGTGGCACCGTCACAAACACACGCAAAGGCACGTCAAGCATAGACTTGGAAATAACACGGGAACATATGGTACAAGTAAAAATAGGGAATTGCTACGAAAAACATGTTTGTCACTGATGCGTCTAACCTGGAAAAGTCCTCAACATGCTTACCCAAAAAACATTTTTGAAAGTTTTCCTGAGGTCAAATACTTTCTTTGAAATCTTCATGGGAAGGGCATGCTTGATTGTGCCGGGAAGGTACCTACGAAGTGTAGGGCTGGAGCTGGAGCTGGAGCTGGAGGAATAATACTCGCCCCAAAGGGAAAGTTGACTATAGAACTGTTTATCATCCAAAACTGGCTCCCACAGGAGATTTCGCTTGGATGAGATCAAGCGGTGTCAAGCGATATCTACACTACACTCGTTGATAAAAGTGGCAAAAATCCTCGGCAAGCCTCGGAATTTTTCCACTTTTATCAACTCGTGTTGATATATTTGATATCAAAAGACACTTGGGTGAGATTCTCTATATGTCTCACTTGTCATACAGTCGTATCGAGAGTTGTGTGTCACTCTGAATCTTCACTAGTCTCTTATCTCTAGTTCAGGTGGGGCGGTCGGGTAGCCTAGTGGTTAAAGCGTTCGCTCGTCACGCCGAAGACCCGGGTTCGATTCCCGACATGGGTACAATGTGTGAAGCCCATTTCTGGTGTCCCCCGCCGTGATATTGCTAGAATATTGCTAAAAGCGGCGTAAAACCATACTCACTCACTCACTCACTCTAGTTCAGGTGGTTAAATCAAGGGAAAGGGAATACCTATTTTACCGTTTTTGAACGATATCAGATCATGTTAAACTTCTTGGCCACATTCCCTTGTTTTGACAAGCAGAATCCGAGCAGAAATGCCGACTCATATGTATCAAGAAACAGCAAAAAGGGGAGCACAGTTGATGTCCATGGGGATGCCCGTTCTTGCCTACAACACCCAAACTGTAAAACAATTGATGTGTTCAAAGTCGTGTTATTCCAAACGCACCTACTACCTACGAACAGCCTCGTGAAGATCCGGGTTAGAGTTGGTCTTCAGCAACCCATACATGCTGTAAAAGGCAAATAACGGGATCGGGTAGTCAGGCTAGCTGACTTGGTTGATGCATGTCTCCAGATTGCGAAGATTGATGCTCATGATATCAATCAATGGATTGTCTGGTCCAGACACGATTATTTAGAGGCCACCGTCATATAGCTGGAATATTGCTGAGTGCGGCGTTAAACAACAAACCTACGAACATGTATACAAGTTTTGTCACACATAATTGAAATATATCATCAGAAGTTTATGTTGAAAGAAATAATAAGCCCTAAAACAAGAAAACATTAATTATATAAAATGTTACCTCTGTCCGTTGCCCCTCCCATGGTGATTGTCAGTGTGACCGAGGCAGTGTAACGACGCTGTGAAAAGTAAGTAGGGATGTGCCAGAGACGAATATAGTCCCATAAGCTGCTCAACAGCCGACGTCAACCCTTGGTCTAATAAATTGTTCATACATAAGGCTCCTAGTTACCTACAAGAGTGTACCCTGAAGCCAGCATACCACACAAATGATAGTTTCCTTAGAAGTGATAGTTGTATGATCTGTGATGACTTATTTTCTGATCAAGCACACAATTACAACTTTTTGAAACACACTTCTGCTGTTATACTTTGACAAAACCTTTTCTTGAGAAAACTCTTTGTAGTCTGTTGTTCTACGTGTGAGTCGCACGATGCACGCGTGTCAAGCTCCGTTGCCCTTTTAATCTTTACAGTGCTCGGTACACGGCTCTCAACAATTTCGCTTGCAAATTTTGAAAACATACTCATAAAAAATGTGTCTTATTACCTTTTCATGAACATTGCTGTTTGTTAGATGATGTAACACAACAATAGATATATTATTTTGTAAGCTTTTAATGATTATCCAAATATCTGAAAATATGTACAGATATTGGTTGATAGTGAATAGTTAATATTGGTAATAGTTTATGCACACCGTTCTGTTACGTGTCGCCGTAGTGGAAGTTGACTAGTACACATCCACAAATTATGGGTTCGAGTCCCACTGTCGACACAAAATTGAAAATTCCGACAAAATTTGAAAACGATCTCTTTACTGTCAAAATAACAAAAAATAGTTTCGTCTGTTTCAAGTATATATTAACTGAGATGTTGGTACAACATTTGTGAACACGTAAAAGTCAACCTCGGCTTCTGCGACACACGACAGAACGGTGAGAAATTTAAACAAGTTTCTTCTAACATTTATTTGCAGGTACATATTCATATGTCACAAATGGCTTGCCCTTGATGAGGATGACGGCAGAATCTGTCGAACGTTTGAAGCATTCTCGCCAGACGGTCAAGAAATAGCCATGTTTGACATCGTCTCGAAGCAGAAGCTTTTTGACGATCATCTATGGCTATCTGTCATTAAACGGCCGATGTTTAGCCGCTTCACTCGAGTCCAAAGATTCCTCTGTGCAGTTGCAATGCTGTTCCTAGGCATGGTGACCAGCGCTATGTGGTATGAAGACTACGACAGCGGTACCCAGAAAAGCAGAGGCATAGAAATAGGCCCTGTTAGACTGAACTACAGACAAATTTATGTTGGAGTGGCATCTGCAGTGATAATTGTCATCCCGGGAGTTCTGATGACCTGGGCCTTCAGGAGAAGAGGGTTGAAGGGAGAGATGGTGGAGGAAGAGAGCAACGGAAGAGGAAGAGGATGCCGATGTATTGGGTACATCACTGGAAAGCTGCTCCTTCCCTGGTGGTTCATATTTGTTGGCTATATGGTGGTGGTGGTATCTATCGGAGCCAGTGCCTTCTTCACCTTTTTGTACAGCTTGGAATGGGGAGGTGCTACGTCTATCAACTGGCTCATGTCACTTGTATTTTGTACAACCGGAAGTACCGTGCTTATAGAACCGATCAAGGTAGGATACATTGTTTCAGACTTGAATGTTCTTAGTAATATGGGGATCTGAGGGGATCCGCAGTACCCCTATTATTTCCGTCAGAGCTGTCATTTATGAGTAACATGTGTACCCGTCTGCAAGGGGTCGTTGATCATGTGCTAGCAATTCATTCAATTAAGAGTACGACAGCTAATTAGGTACTTTTGTAGGCTGGTTTATGAAAATCAGTTTTGGTATGCCTGATATATGCTATCATTAATAAGTGGTCTTTACATGTTGCTCTTAGTTACATTTATTCCCGAAGCTATCTTAGAGCCTCATTAAATTGCTGCCCCAATAACCATTCAGAAATAAAGTCGCATGCGCACTGCCACATAACACGTGTCTGTTTAAGTTGTCAATTGTTTGTTGTACTTATATGCGCATACTTATGTTTGAACAGAAAATGCAACATGTTTTAAAAATGAATATTTACTAGTTCCGCCGCATTCAACAGATTTAGAATATATATATTTTTACGTGGCAGATGTATGTACATGTATATCTACACAACATTTGAGATTGATATGTGTATTACTTTTTGATAGGTATAAGACAGTGTCAAAAATAGTTCCTAAGGCAGTTGCTTTTTCGTTCTACGTTGCTAAGACTTGTCTTACCTAAGACAGCTTCGTGAACAGGCCACAAGGTGAAGATACTTTTTGCCCGAGAAAACATGCTACGACTGTGTAGTTTCATGAAAAGGTTGATCACCAATTTATCAAACGTGTTAGTCCATTTAAATACTGATGTCATTTGTCGTGCCTCCCTAGATACTGATCTTGTCCGTCGCCTTCTCCACCGTGTTCAGGAGGACAGTCCAGGAGGACATGGGGAACGTCGCCCCCGTGAAGAACGTCAACACCAGGGGGGTCATGTCTTTAGGTTGGTGCAGAATTGTTTCATATGCTAAGGAACAATATTACCATGGCAAGGGCGTTAACTGACTTGTCCAGTTTCAACCTTTGCCGAAATAGGCTGGAATTTCCAGGTTCGGTCGTTGCGCCACCAGTGGCCAATACCAGTTATGCCCCTTCTATGTCCCTCCAACAAACCAATCTCGTATCACTTGCATTTGCTTCAAACAAAATGGCAGCGCCCTGTCAAGGTCAAGACGATCTGATCGATAATCAAGATGTATAGTGTAATAAAGGGGTCTTGCATGAAATCACTTGAGCACCTCGATTAAAATCATGAAAAGTTTTGCAAAACATCAGTCGACGCCCATTCAGCGGTACACATGCTTTGCAAATCCTGCAGTCGACCGAAATCTGCACGTTGAAATCCATGTTGTTTGCGAACCGGATGTCCTGTTCGTCACGGGAGCTTGATTGGACTATGCATAGACTCGTTAGTTCAGCCGAAATGTAACTCCTGAATTCCAGCCCATTTCGGGTGGAAACTGGACTTTTATAGTCAGTTAACGCCTTTGCCTCGGTAAGATGCCAAGCAACGGGGCTGGAGTCATTGTCTTTAGAAAATGATCTGTTTCCAAAAATCTTAGAACAAATAATTTTTCATTAGGTTTTTCTTCTAGAAATAGATATTTTCTTTGACACTGTGAATGTTCGAAAAATAATCTAATATGGATGCCCCTTAATTTTGTTTTGTAATCTAATCTTTGAAGTGTACCACAGGAATCCAGGCCCCAAGACCAACAAATGGTCGTTGCCTCTTAATAGTAGGTTCAGTAATGTAAACTTCAGTAAGAAATGTCATCGGAGCAAATGAATAAAACTGACTTACGCTTTGCCAAGTTGAGTGCGATTCCTAACTCAAAATGAACATAAATGTTTGATCAGTTCAGGCCGACGTAATATGGGCAGATAATTCCCTTTTTACGTTTGTGATTATTAAATTCATTGCTGGGAGCACAGATGGTTAAAATACTAAATTGCTTCCTGTCGGCGTGCCAATAACGAATGATCGTAGCTTCGAATCCTAGATCCCCTAATTTTGTTGTTAGGTTTGTCTCACCATACCCATGATCGTCAGCTTCATCAAAGAGGAAAACGAGCGTTAAACTTACTTACAAATTCCTGAACGTTACTAATCTTAGCTGTGTTAAGGAAAATCAAAAGTAAATACTTACCGTAGATCGTGTGTGTCATAAACGTCTCAAGCATTGCCGGGTTGTAGAGCAATCCGTTATTACATGTTTCTAGTACGCACGAGCCTGCATCATCAATCAGCGATCACAGAGCCGCCCGATGAAGACACGGAAGAGATAAAGAAGCGCCGGGAACAGCTGGTTCTGAAACACAGGCTGTTCTTGGTCAGCAAGAGTCTCGGGGCCAAGCTGGCTTTTATATTCGTCCTTGCCCTCATCTGTTTTCACGGCAATGTCAGGGAATCCTACCTCCTCAACACCTTGGTGAAAACATACGCGAATAAGACTTTCCTCTCAGGGGTACGTTGCAAACTCATTTTTTTCTGTTAATGGAAAAACACTTCCCTTCACCAATTAGTGAATTGGTACCCGGTAGAATGAAACGGTAATGGGACCAAATCTTCTTTGCATCAGAAGATAACTTGAGTTGTAAACTCCTCAGGGAGTTGAGAATGTAATTTAAGCTCATACTGATCCAATGACTGGGCTAATAATAATGTAGCACCATGAAAATTCACGTGGAAAGGCGAATTACAAATGAAATTAATACTAGTTTTATTACTATCATTATAAGTAGGACATTGAAGTGATTTCCACAACCCATTGGGGGCACGGGTGGCCCAGTCGTCTAAGGCGCCGCGATTCGCTGTGCAGAGTTGCGTCCCTTGGGCACGCTAGAAACCTATGATTGTGGGTTCGAATCCCGGTTCGCCCCGATTATGTTTCTAGGTTTGTCAGCACCATACCCGTGCTCGTGGTAAAGTGGTAAACGTCTGTGACCTGCATCACTTCGGGCTTTCCTTCGGGCTGACACGCCGCGATATTACTGTAATACTGTTAAAAACGGCGTTTAACACAACTCACTCACTCACTCTACAACCCATTAAATGGTTAATGCGTCTACATGCATATGTATTGATATGAAATGTCATGGATCTATGTCTTTTGGCTTTTACAATTTATTTGTACGTGGCGATCGAGAAGCTGTACTACCAATGAAGACAAAGTAGACCAATGGATATCTGCTTCTTCATTTGTCTTCAAAAATCGTCATTAGTCTTCCAATGTAGTTTTTTAAAAAGGGTACCAGTGATTTAGGATTTCAATTAATGTCAACTCATGGAAGCGTTAATATAAAAGCCGCTGTGCACACTTTGTAAATTCCACAAAAGAAAAAAACATATTGTAGTCAGTTCTTATGAAGAATACGTCAAGAATAACAAGTTAACAGACTGTTATTAAATTAATATCAGACAAAAACTCGGTAACATCCTTCAGCGCAATAATGCAACACACGCCCCGCCCATTCTGTTAAGAGCCAATCAGAAAACAGAAGTCCGTTAGTGGGCGTGGCCTATTTTTCAGTTTATGGAAACGTAAACGTTTAAGCTATTGTTTGCCTTTGAATCTTTTGCAATTTATATAATTACATAAACTGAGGAGAAAAAGAAGCTTTGCCTCTTGGTTGATTTTATCATTTGTTTGATATTCATTTGAAAATATTGTAGTAGGGGTCATGTAAAATTTAGTTGCAAATTCATATCTTACCCAAGTCTTCATTAAACCAATGTATTTGTACACAGATTTACAGATTACCTACTGTTGCAGGAATGAGTGACAGTTATACAGACATAATCAGATTTAACAAGAGTTATTTCAATGTTCAATTACATAAAAAAACCAACTCGGTATACTTTGCCCCAAAGCATTGGTTCTCTGAATTTGTTTTGTTTCAGAGCGTCAACAAAGTATCCGGTGTTTGGGCCTGGTTTGACCACGATTTCATACCGTCACTGCTACCTAGACACCAGTTTAATGGCGATCTTATGTCCGTTTATGATCAGAGATTTGCTGTGGATGGTGTCAACTATCGGCTTGGAGCGATCAGCTTGCGGCAGTACAGAGTCAGAGGTGAGGTTTAATATTCAACAGTATCTAGTAAAGCCCATATGCGTTAAGTCACGGGAAAGGGAAAAAACACACGTTCAGTATATGGCATGTATTCCGCATGTAAGTATTCACATATTATTGCAAACATTCAACAATATATAGCATATCCCACATGTCAAAATTCACATATTATTGCTCACATTCAACACTATATAGCATATCCCACATGTAAATATTCACATATTATTGCAAACATTCAACAATATATAACATATCTCACATGTAAATATTTACATATTATTGCAAACATTCAACACTATATGGCATATCCCACATGTAAATATTCACATATTATTGCAAACATTCAACAATATATAACATATCTCACATGTAAATATTCACATATTATTGCAAACATTCAACAATATATAGCATATCCCACATGTAAATATTCACAAATTATTGCAAACATTCAACAATATATGGCATATCCAAAATGTAAATACACACATATTATTGCAAACATTCAACAATATATGGCATATCCCACATGTAAATATTTACATATTATTGCAAACATTCAACAATATATAACATATCCCACATGTAAATATTCACATATTATTGCCAACATTCAACAATATATAGCATATCCCACATGTAAAAATTCACATATTTTTGCTCACATTCAACACTATATAGCATATCCCACATGTAAATATTCACATATTATTGCAAACAGTCAACAATATATAACATATCTCACATGTAAATATTCACATAATTTTGCCAACATTCAACAATATATAGCATATCCCGCATGTAAATATTCACATATTATTGCAAACATTCAACAATATATGGCATATCCCGCATGTAAATATTCACATATTATTGCAAACAGTCAACAATATATAACATATCTCACATGTAAATATTCACATAATTTTGCCAACATTCAACAATATATAGCATATCCCGCATGTAAATATTCACATATTATTGCAAACATTCAACAATATATAACATATCCCACATGTAAATATTCACATATTATTGCCAACATTCAACAATATATAGCATATCCCACATGTAAAAATTCACATATTTTTGCTCACATTCAACACTATATAGCATATCCCACATGTAAATATTCACATATTATTGCAAACAGTCAACAATATATAACATATCTCACATGTAAATATTCACATAATTTTGCCAACATTCAACAATATATAGCATATCCCGCATGTAAATATTCACATATTATTGCAAACATTCAACAATATATGGCATATCCCACATGTAAATATTCACATATTATTGCAAACATTCAACAATATATAACATATCCCACATGTAAATATTCACATATTATTGCCAACATTCAACAATATATGGCATATCCCACATGTAAATAATCACATATTATTGCAAACGTTCAACAATATATAGCATATCCCACATGTAAATATTCACATATTATTGCAAACATTCAACAATATATAACATATCCCACATGTAAATATTCACATATTATTGCAAACATTCAACAATATATAACATATCCCACATGTAAATATTCACATATTATTGCCAACATTCAACAATATATAGCATATCCCACATGTAAAAATTCACATATTTTTGCTCACATTCAACACTATATAGCATATCCCACATGTAAATATTCACATATTATTGCAAACAGTCAACAATATATAACATATCTCACATGTAAATATTCACATAATTTTGCCAACATTCAACAATATATAGCATATCCCGCATGTAAATATTCACATATTATTGCAAACATTCAACAATATATGGCATATCCCACATGTAAATATTCACATATTATTGCAAACATTCAACAATATATAACATATCCCACATGTAAATATTCACATATTATTGCCAACATTCAACAATATATGGCATATCCCACATGTAAATAATCACATATTATTGCAAACGTTCAACAATATATAGCATATCCCACATGTAAATATTCACATATTATTGCAAACATTCAACAATATATAACATATCCCACATGTAAATATTCACATATTATTGCAAACATTCAACAATATATAGCATATCCAACATGTACGTTCGTCCTACGAGGAAAACCAAAATGCATTGATTGACATTCCGAGACACGCGTTTAAATAACAAACTTATATACTCGATCCATGAGTGTCAGTTTGTTTTGTTAATGCTTTAATTATCAAATGGTCTAAAGTATTTTGAATGTGTGTCGGAAAAATAAATGCGGTTCAATTTGCTATATATTGTTACGTGTTGATCACATTATATCAAATAACAATATGTATGTCTTATATACTCTTTAAAAAACTGGGGGTCATGAAATAGTAATGATAATATCAAATATTAGAACAAAGATAAGTATTGAGCCCAAACGTCCTCTGCCAGAACGTTGATGTCTGTAAAAGTTAACACCTAAACACACTCTTCAGTTTGCACATGCTGCACGCAGTAGCGCCACGCACGTGCGTGGGGTATCATTCCTGATTTTGACACTTTTAAGGAAGGTCGATTAATCTCTCTGTACCCTTATTTCTGTCAATCTTATTAATTCTGCGTAATATTACGTTTGGGATTTACTTGATGTCATTCATTGTTTGTGTATGAATTATCGATGCGGCGTCTACAAGGCGCGGGGCGTCTCCGGGCTATTTGGCATGCTGCAGTGGCCAACAATACGTTCAATGTTTCACGGTCAGTGATAAGCAGTGCAGTGGCCAATACGTTCAATGTTACACAGTCTGTGATTAGCAGACTATAGAACGGGTACAAACTTACCCAAACTTCATCAGGCTGCTGGAGTACAAGTTACGTTCAGACGATTAGAAATCGTCAACAGGTAGCTCATCTCCATGCTCGAGGGCTCTTGTTGTGCCACCTGACACGTCGTCATATTGCCAACAGACGTCCATGGCGTACACGACGTCGAAACTGGGATAATCGTCACTGGTCACGTGTAATATTTTCGGATGAGACCCGATTCAATTTTCACTTCCTTGATAGGTGTGGTCGTGTCAGGCGAAATCGAAATGTACGTCTCGCAAGTGTCAACCTGAAACCGCTTGACATCTGGTATGGGGAGGCATAACTATGACTGACCGAACCCCACTCCTTATTACAAGGACGGGTCACTGGATAGTACTACCGGGACGACACTCTTTGTTGTCCCCTTTGCAATGCGTGTGGGTGGACGATTTGTCTTTCAGAAGACAACGCCCGTGAACATTGCGCACGAATCGTCAATGTTCACCCCCAACAGCACAATATCCATAGAAAGCCATGGCAAGCCATCAGCGGAGCTCTAACCCATTGAACTGGTCTTGGACCTGATAGGGAGACGTATGAGTCAACGTCAAAGGTCGCCGACCACGTTGTCTGAACTTGACCAAGAGGAGTGGGACAGACTCCCTCAGTTTGCCATTGGGAGACTCATACCCAGTATGCCTCGCCCAGTGAATGCATGATTGACAAATTGTGGCGGTATTACACGCTACTGATCCAAACACGTCAACTTTGAAATTTCCCATCTTACCCCATTCATCCTTCAAGATCGTTGGAGGTCATAACATCAACTATCATACTTCAATACCGGCTGTAATGCGTTCTCAATTCGTTCATTGTTATCATGCAGCTAATACTAGAAACTACAGTCTCTTATAGTCATGGAATTGATAGGTTATTTCTCAGAATCCCCTACTTTCTTTGAAGAGTATATGTAAATTACTTGAAAATATGGTGTAACTTGCCATGTACAGGTATAATTATGCTCTGTGGATTTCCGCCAGTGTACACGGCAAGCCTTTCCATGTAACAAATGTTATATTTGGGATAACACTTTCTTTGTAAAGTACATATTCTCGTAGTTTTTTTGGTTAAGTCCCGTCCGAACCCACACTGCCAGAGTGAGACATCCCGGACGGGACTCAACCCAAAAAAGTACGAGAATCTGTACTTTACAAAGAAAGTGTTATCCCAACTATAACATTGGTTACATTTGACCACTTTCTAAATGGCATTGTGTGTTCAAAGCCCTTCCATGTTGTAAATATAGAACCCCATGTATTAAGTTCATTAACAGGTCCCTGTCAGCACCTTGCGATTACGAAGTGGTACAGTGTACATCTACAATGCCTGCCCGAATACACTTCCCAAACAGCTGAGACTGGGATATTCAAGGAAGGTGAGTGAAGGAATTAGTTCAAATTGCTGGTACATTTTCCACAAAAAAACACAGAACATATTATAAGTTGTAGGAGGATCACAAGGGGTACATGGGGTTTATCTGTCCCGCGTTGGTTGAATGGCATGAACCTTAACGAGCGACGCATAAAACTACATGTACCCCGAGTGATCCGAGTGGCAGAATACTCATCTTCTAAGTCAGCATCCATGGCAGCATCCCCTCCACCCTTACCCTCTATCAGCACCTACGGTGAGAATTACCTCCTAGCTATGGGGTATTTCTTTCATGGGTGAGACTGGTAGAGGTGAGGTCTGTTAGCTATGAAGTCTGGTAAGCTGTGAAGTCTCCACACCAGTAGTCAGAAGTGGTATTTTGAGGTCTTTAAAGGTCAAGGCTAGCACCTTCACTCATGTATAGGTCCTAATGCTGTTATCTCGAAGTTGATGGCTATAATGTACAACGTGTTTGGTACTGAGCAGGAACAGGCTTTCTCAATGGTAGCTTCTACAGAAATAAACAGCAATCAGGGGAGAGTATTAGTGACTGGGAATGTCGAGTTGAGGAGTTATTTGCTTAAGGGTGTAAGTAAAGGATACAATCCGGCTCTTGAAGGCCCTCCAAAATATCCCGATGTTCCAGGCTTAATTCTCAGTCAAGACCGAGGAGGAGGTTTTAAATCCAACTTATAAGCCGTCTAAATGCAAGAAATACCAGAAAGAATAAGAAGACAGTGCTTCGCGCCATAAAGGCATTCAATGAAAGCATGCGAGAGAAAGACCACGTGCAGCATTTACACAAGTGAAGTCATGACATAAGATTGAACACCATTTCATTACCTGTCCCGTCGGCTCAGTCGGAAAGCAGTGTTTACAAAATTAAACACGATTTTGTGAGGTTGCAGGTCCGGTTTCACGTCATGGAATATTCTTTTAACTTTGTGACTTTTACCCAATCACAAATCAACATTAGAGCCATATCAAACGGCCAGTTTATAAGGTTAAAAAGTTAATTTCTTAAAGGTGGGACATTTCCTTCCTCCCTTGATTCACATGCGTGATGGGGGATCTGTAAGCAAGGGAAGCTTGAAGGTCCCAATCATGAGAATATGTCCCAAAATGGTAAAACAAGTGTCCTGGCATGTTTGCTGGGAGAACCTGAGGAGGATATTAATGGCGTTTCCACCAAGACTTTTCTAGATTCTGATTCAACAATGAGTGACATTTTTGAAAATAACCATTGCTCACATCGCCCATAAGAGCCTTTGAAAAATCTCTTACAAAAATTAATGTACTGACTTACAATCTGTGACCTGTTTGCTGTTAGTTGTTCAAGAAATTCAAATGGTAAGTTACCATTTTGCTAAGTACGAATGTGCTTAAAACATAGACCGAAATATGTCACAGTGGGAGTGGATCAAGCTTTCTACAGAAGGCCAAGATTGAGACCCATTGGTATCTAACATACTGGACAATAGTTTTTACAGATGAGGATCTTCTCAGTGCAAATATAGACCAGGGATAGTCAAGAGTCCCGAGGTTAAGTCTTATGCAACAGCAACATAGTTGTAGCTGGGTGCGTTTACATGCTTTTTAGTTGTCCTCAGTTGGTTCTCTTTAATCCTGTCATGCGAGGCTACTTAACGGATCAAGTTGATATGCTTTAATTGTTTGTATTTATGTTTAACTCCGCACCCAGCAATGTTCCAGCGACATGACGGCGGGTTGTAAAAAATCATGTCTGAACCAGACAATCCAGTAATATTAATTCTTAAAACATGGTTGGAATAAATCCTACACCACATCCAGTCACAACAATAAGATGGGAGTATGTTTTGTTTTGTTTTGTTTTTTGTGTGTGTTTGTTTTTGTATAACGCCACACTCAGCAATATTCCAGTTATATGACGGCGGTCTGAAAATAATCGAGTCTGAACCAGACAATCCAGTGATTGATCTACGCCATCTCGATACAATGACATGCATCAACCAAGTCAGCGAGCCCACCACCCGATCCCGTTAGTCGCCTCTTACGACAAGCCTGGGTTGCTGAAGATCAATTCTAACCTGGATTTCTAACGGGTTGGTTGTCATGTTTGGTGACTTGGTAGATAGTCTGTCATCGTTGCCCTATGGTTTGGATAGTTGCTAATATCAATGATAAGATTGTCTGGTCAAGACTGGACAAACAAATTGTCTGTAAATTTAGTATATTTTAATGACGGTTTTCTTTACTAGAATGGCAGAGGTGCAACGCCACCGACAGCTGTACGGAGAAACCTTTCCTGCTGACCAAAAACACAGGTGGTACTGGAGTTGTCGTTGAAGGAACGTTTGGTTACTATGGAGATGGCAGCTACATCGAAAGCTGGAATCAAGATCGAAGACACGCATCAAGCAGGAAGATATTCTTGGAAAGAGAGAAATGGTTAGATTCGCAAACACGTGCTCTGATAGTGGAAGCTTCCCTGTACAACCCAAACGTCCGTCTGTTTACCCGGCTTCAGGTGTTGTTTGAGTTTTCAACACTTGGTGACGTACAATTCGCCATTGATGCCAAGACAGCAAGACTCTATCCATACGTGAACGTCTGGGACTATTTGATCCTTCTGTTACAAGTCATTTTTGCCTTGACTGTGCTAATCCGAATGTGCAAGTTCTGTCATTCAGCGTGCTGTTCCAGAGAACGAATGTTAAGTTTAGGCACGTGTGTGTTTGTTTTTGAAATGTTACTGTCAGCGTGTGGAATGATTGTGTATGGAGTGAAGATTGACCGGACTATTTTCGTCGTGGAGGAAATTCACAACAACCCAGGTAAGCTGATTAATGAATTTACAATCGGTCTACGATAATAATTGGCTTAATTGTCCTGTGCAGAATTAACGGCTTCGAATAAGATTCTCGACTTGTCATTTTAGTTCTCTCGTACCAGTGGCCATCTCAGTGGATATTGCACATAAATCCTTGATCTTTTGTGATCATACTTGAATATCCTCAGTACACATGACAACATAGCCACGCTGGCTTCGTGTTAGAAATGGCGCCGCCACATCCATCTCTCTTATCACTAGCTTAGTACATGATACATCTCCCTCTGGTGCTTGAAACCAACAACCAATGAAAATGCTTCTTCTGAATGAGAGTTTGGCTTAGATGTATATTCAAAATCGCCTTGTATTTAAATGAATTGCATGACCTTTTGTAGCTGCAAAACAAATTTCTGAGAACTCAGACGGGGGAGGGATGTTCTTTTCCCACTTCACGTTCTGATTGCACTTGAGACGGCATGCAAACATCAAGACGGGTACTGATGATTTGGCTGCTTCTTTGAATGAAAAAGATAATTAAATGTAATTTTGTTGGACATCTTATTTCATTATATCTTTTATTCAGAGGAGCATCCATCAAACCAATTGGATCCAGGATATGATAATAATAGAATTGAGATACTATACACTGAAATGTATGTGACCAACAATGTGCTGAAACGCCCTTGGTTTACTGAATTTCTGTTCAAAGCGGAGTAATCACATTGGGGATTCTGGGGGTTCCCAACAATCTGTGCCTGTCGTAAGACTTGGTTGATTGCCTGCCATCTCACCTCGACGGCGTGGATAGTGGCTCAAAATATCAATCACTGTAATGTCTGGTCCGGACACGAGTATTTACAGGCCGCTCTCGAATAGCATGACTATTGCTGGATGCTGCGTTAAACAACAAACACACGTATAAAGCTGCGTTAAACCAGACCATATTCATGCACTCATTCAATACCACTTACACAGAGGCGTCAAACACCTGACGCCTGCATCACTGCCAGCCCTCCTCCCACAGTATCGTCTGGGAGGCGACTAACGGGAATGGGTGGTCAGGCTCGCTGACTTGGTTGAAGCATGTCATCGATCCCAATTGTGTGGATCAATGCTCATGATGTCAATCACTGGATTGTCTGGTCCGGACTCGATAATTTGCAGACCGCCGTCATATAGCTGGAATATTGCTGAGTGCGGCGTTAAACAACAACCAACCAATCAACCCACATTAAGCTGACACGTCGTTATGTACCTGGAATATTGTAAAAGCTGCGTTTAACCAAACTCACTCACTTAAACGATGGTTATAGTTATAACTTGTTTGCCCCGGAAGACTATTACCAATTATAAGTAACATCTAAAACAAGCAAAAAAAAGTATAATGGTACGTCTGCATTAACATTCATCGTTTGGTACACGTCCAGGGTGTTTACAACATTTTCATTACGCTTTCTTACTTTTTCAGAAAATTACATATCGTTTGACTTAGTTCATCTGTTGGATGAAATCTACAGATCCTGCCTCGGACTGGTCTTGTTCATACGGATACTGTTACTTCTGCAGCCTCTGTCTCTCAACTACAACCTATTCCTCATGCGGGCGACTCTTCTGTCCTCCAAGAAGGAGCTGTTTGCGTTTTCACTGATTCTCGCCATTGTAGTAACAGCATTTGCATCCTTCTTCTACCTTCTGGAAGGACCAGTCACGTTTGACATAAGAACAGTGTACCATTCCTACATGGCTCTGGTGGAATCACTCCTTGGGCTGGTCCGATCTCGACAGCTGCTGTTTTCCGAGTCGGGGATTGAGGTTTATATCAAACAGACTATGTTCATATGCTTCTCTTTCACGGCCACCATGATTCTCATGAATATTGGCGTCAGCATCCTAAACATTGATATGTCGTCGATTAAGGGTCATACGGACTTTAAAGTTGGTCCCGAGTTTGATCGCGATTTGAATGAATTCCTTTGGAAGGCTGTGGAGGAAATGTTGAAGAAGTGCTCGCCAAGGGGTCAACAAGGATTTGATGCTACCGTCCACCCGTGTGAGTAAACATTCTTTGTGTTTGTTGATATGTTTGTTTGTTGATATGTTTGTTTGTTGGTTAACGCAGAGCCATGCAAAGTTTCAGTTCCACGACGGAGGTGTGGGCCCGACAACCCAGTGATTAACATCATGTGCATCGACCTCGCAATTGGTTTGTTTGTTGTTGTACGCTGCACTCAGCTATAAGACGGCGGTCTGTAAACAATCGAGTCTGGACCAGACAATCCGGTGATTGAGCATCGATCCACACAATTGGGATCGATGACATGCTTCAACCAAGTCAGCGAGCCTGACCACCAAATCCAGTTAGTCGCCTTTTACGTCAAGCATGGGTTGCTGGAGTCCTATTCTACCCCGGATTTTCACGGGTCTCAATTGGGATACGATGACATGCATCAATCAAGTTACCGAGTCTGAACACCCGAACCCATTAGTCATCTTTCACGGCTTGCATGAGTTGCTGAAGACCAATTCTAACCAGGGAAAGGTTCTGTGCTGGAGTACGTGTGTCAGTTGGGTGAACCGCGGCTTTGAAAAGAATTCAGTTAAGTCATGATCACCGCGTGCTAGTTCAATGTAGGAGGAAAGCCCAGATGGATGCAGCGATAAAGCATCCATAAAACGAGCGCGGGATTGTACTGACAAATCAATGGTTATATACAGAGGAATTCTACGAAGAGAATCGTTTGAGAATGATTCTGTATGGTAGCTTCGCTAGACAATATCCCTTCTGACCCGGATACCCCGCGAGGTTCAATGCCTGATTTACATTTGCTTGCATATCCTTTATGCATGTTAAGCTTTGCAGAATGCAATATGTCCCGTGGGGTGAAACAGTCAGTGAGTGAGTATGGATTTACGCGACTGTTAGCAATATTCCAGCAATATCGCGGTAGGGGCCAGAAATAGGCTTCACAAATTGTGTCAATGAGGTGAACCAAATCAGCGTGACGAGCGAACGCTTTATCCATTAGGTTACCCAGCCCCTGTCCCATGAGAATCCCGTGAAAGAATAGCCATGTGAAGCATAAGTATAGACTAATGTATGTCGTACATATTTAACTTGACAATCATCGCTCGTCATATGGTTTCTGAATGCCACTACCATGGCATTGTTGTAATGGTACTCACGACAAGAGCAATGGCATTCACTATCTCACCATTATTTTCGTTTAACAGCAACCATTACATCAAAATGTATTGACTTTTATATAGACGTTCAGGCACATGCCGCCATTACTGGTCGAGTCATTATTCATGCTATTGCTACTGTGCGGTATGAGGCTACAAAACATAATCTGTCCGTGAAGGTTAGGGTAGAATAGGTCTTTAGTAACCCATGCTTGCTGTGAAAGGCTACTATGCTCGTCGTAAGAGGCGACAAACGGGATCGGTTGGTCAGGCTCCCTGACTTGGTTGATGCATGTCATCATATCCCAATTGCTTAGATCGATGCTCATGATGTCAATCACTGGATTGCCTGGTCCAGACTCGATTATTTACAGACCGCCGTCATATAGGTGGAATATTGCTGAGTGCGGCGTTATACAAACAAACAAACAAACAAACAAACAAACAAAACATGAACATATATTATTGTTGTGATTGGATGTTGTGTAGGTTTTGTTCCAACCATGTTTAAAGAATGAATATTATTGTCTATGGTTATAGGATATTATTGTATTATTGTCTATGGTTATAGGATATTATTGTGTCTCATTTTCTGTTCTAAAGTATCAAGGCAGTGTGTCGAGGATGGTATATCCATGGGTGAAAATACATACGAGATCAACAGCAAGGTACAGTCATATGTATTTGGTTGGTCAAATGGCGATACACACGCCTTATTGCATACGTTTAGATTTTTACACTGTTGCATACATATATACATTTATCATATAATGGGTAGGTTTCTCGGCAGGATAAAGCCAACTGATAAAAACGATATCCGTCGGGGTCATATGCGGATAGAGATGCAAATATCAAAGGTCAAGTAGGGACTACTTTCACTGTTTATAAACAAACATGGCGTCGCCCTCGTCATTCGGCGATCGAGTCAGAACTAACCATCGGGAATCTGGATAAACTACAGAGATAATTGCTATCATTATCAAAAGAACGGTCTAATATACTATAAATCAGTGTCTAACTGTTACGTCACGAAGGCATTTTATAAGTTTTGGCAACTTTGAAGAAACAATTTTGCGAGGGCACGAGGCCTAGCCAAGCGGGATCAGTAGCCATATCTGTGCTTGTAGACCTCTGCGGCTTGAAACCTTCATCACAAATTAAAATAGTTGCATTTGGCCGAAATATGTTTGAATTGTGACCTTGTTTCGTTTTCTCGCTGTGTGTACATGTACATCTGACTTCACTCCTTAACGTTACGACTGGACAGACCGACTGTCAACAACGTCTGACCGTGGCCGTGACGTCTCGTAGACTAGGTTTAGAGTAGCTTCCCTTTGACAAAGGGCAGTTACTCTAGCGGACAGACAGATGGATTGCCGTGAAAGGCAATAAAAAAACCAATTGTTTGTTTTGCGTATATGTTGCTTCGTCACTGTATAAGAAACAGATTTCAGTTGGAACTATATTGGCTACTGTCACTGTCCGACAGACCCATCACTTACCCTACGACGTAATAAATATTAATGCGCGCATTCCAGGAAAACTCGCAATGTTTCGGTAATGTTTATGAGAGAGGGAAAGCGATTTTGAAGCACAGAAATAAAGAATGACATTATATGATAAAGAGGTTATCACGCTTGTGTATTTGGGGATGGTAAATATCCTGTATTAGGAATAAACACTATGTATTTAGCTCGCCAAGGCTCGCTAAATACAATGTTTATTCCTAATGCAGGATATTTACCATCCCCAAACACACTCGCGTGATAACCTCTATATACTTGAAATATGTATGAATGTCTTATACAAATATAACTACCTGTGAAGATCCGGGGTAGAATAGGTGTTAAACAACAAACAAACAAATAACAAACAACGTCAACGCCAGAGAATAACAAGTATCGATTACCCGACAAAAGAGATTCCATTAGGCGTAAAAGGCAAAAACGCGCTCCCATCCTTAAATTCCACTTAAACCCCAATGGGTAAAGCTTTACGAGTGCCCTGCGGTACACTTGAAATAAAATACATCTTTATCCATGCGGTCTCAGTAGTCATTTAATTTAGTATGATGTCAAACCCGATACATTGATTTTGGATCTTGTTTGTTCTCGAGGATAATATACTAACAATATAATATACCCTCTTTGACACCAGCTCGACAAGATGATGATGACGATTACCAACAGCAATGATGCTGACATACTTCTTGCCCGATCTATCGCGAACAGAGCTATGGTTGAGCTCAACACTGCACAGTCCCGTATCAGGCAGACGGAAGAGGAAGTGTTTATCGTCAAACAAGAGCTCAGTCACCTGCAGGACACCGTCCGTAGACTGACCTCTGAAGAGGACAAGACAACGGGTCCAGAGAAGGCCCAAGTGACGCTCAGGTAAATACTGTGAATTATGGTTGGATGGTTAGCAAGCATGGGTTACTGAAGACTATGATATATTGTGTGTTGTAGCCTCATACCGCGCGGTAGCAATACCTCTTACGACAAGTATAGTCGCCTTTTATACTGTGAATTATGTATATTGTGAGTGAGTGGGTGTCGCCTTAATGTGGGAGGAAAGCCCGAAGTAATCCAGGTCTAGGACGTTAACTACTTCGGTGAAACCCACGAGCACGGGTATGGTGCGGACAAACCTAGAAACATACTCGCGGCGAAGCGGGATTCGAACCACAATCATAGGTTTCTGGAGTGCCCAAGGGACGCAATTTCGGCGCCTTAGAAGACTGGACCGCCCCTGCCCTAGCACCGGTTTGAGATATATTTTTAGTTATACAACGTCTTTTCAGCTTGAAGTGGGAGGAAAGCCCGAAGAGATGCAGGTCTAAGATGTTAACCACTTTCTTGAAACCCACGAACACGGAATGGTGCTGACAAACCTAGAAACAAAATCAGGGTGAATCTTGTATTCGAACCCACGATCATTTCTGGCAGGCTTTTGGGAGGCATTTTTGCAAAGCAAATTGCATTGTGATTTGAAGTGTTACAAACTATGCTTGGTTGCCGTTCGGAATGCAGATTCGAGGAAACCTGGAAACTTCCTATCAAGTATCCGGTGAATTCCGCCTCCCCTGTCACCTTGTTATATGTCTTCGAATTTCAGAAAATGGGAAGAACTGTTTCTATTCAACTTCAATCGAATTACTTGTGTCACATGCAGTGTTACAATAAGACGGTGAGGTGAAATGGGGTTTAACGTCGCGTCCAAGATTATTGCACTTATATAGCGACGTTGTTACAATAAGAGCGACAAAACCCTTCCCATAATTATAAATACGGAACGTCAATGCCAGGGAATAACCAGTCTCGATTATCCTCCCAAACAGATTCCACTGGACGTAAGAGGCAAATTAGCGGTGAAAATAAGAATTGTATAAATGGTTCACTGAAACAATATCAATCAATACTTTATTCAATATGAAGGTCGTCGCGCGGCCCATGTACAAATAACAGTTTACAGGTATTGTAATGGCAAAATAATCATTTTAAACATTGTTGAAAAAATACTTTTTTCTTTCATACGCACGATAAATACATACACAGGCATAGTGGTTTTATTTGTTCTGTATCGAAACATGAAATACGTCTTCATTTTTGACTGCCGGGTGTTTTGTGGCATGGAACAGTGGAATGAGGCAGACGTCTTCAGACGTATTCTGCTTTTAGATCATACTCAAAACGAGTTGTTGTTTTGAACCCACGATTAGCAGATTCTGGTACTATGAATTGCAATTATACATTATATTGCAGCGTCGATGACACGACAGGCAGAGCATGCATTATGTTTAAAATAACATCAACGTCCCCCACAACAGCCGAGGAGGTGGAACTATGTGACGTCACAAACACGGAAACGGGCGCTCTTATAATGGGCATGCGCACTCTCTATGGGAAAGTCTACAAGTGTCAGTCCTCAATGGGGCTTGAGGTGAGGAAATGTGTGGTTACAACCGTTTGCAGTGCTTGAACAATCTGTTGAATGGCCTTAGACACTATATTGAAGCACCATTGTATATTCCGAGCCGTCACGTATGGCAGATATTACAATCATTATTATTTGCATATCAATTTAAGCGAATGAGTATGGTTTAACGCCGCTTTTGGCAATATTTCAGCAATACAACGGGGACAACAGAAATCAGCTTCACATATTGTACCCATTTAGGGATTCGAACCCGACCTTGGACGAGGCGGGCGAACACTTGAATTACAAGGCTACCCACCACCCGATCGTATTGAAATGACTGCATGTCATAATTCATGGGATGTCTATGGGTAGACAAGGACGTTTGGATCGTTGATAATGAAATATACGAATTGGGACGATTTCTGTGAGCACAGGGCCATCAGGATTAACAGAGGGTCACTGTATTCCTACAGTGTAACGTTGGTTGTTGGTTGGTTTGTTGTTTTACGCCGCACTCAGCAATATCCCAGCTATATGACGGCGGTCTGTAAATAATCGAGTCCGGACCAGACAATCCAGTGATTAATATCATGAGCATCGATCCACGCAATTTGGATCGATGACATGCATCAACCAAATCAGCGAGCCTGACCACCCGATCCCGTTAGTCTCCTTTTACGACAAGCATAGTCACCTTTTACGACTTCTTTGACGCGGGACATTTAATGTCGAGCAGCACTAGTTCAGTTCAAGGTGGTGCGAACTACGAACCCGGGCTGACCAGCAAACTTGGCGTTGTCACAAAAACGACAACATTCTGGGCAAATCTTGGTCGATTCTGGGGTGAATCAAGGAAATAAATCTGAAAACTTTAGCTTTTGGGCAAAGTTAGGCGATTCTCCGACTGCAATATTGAATAACTGACAAAACAGGATTTTACATCGTTTCATGACATTGTTCTTCAACAGAAGCAGCGCGTAAATCTGCAGTTCCTTATTGCCAAAGATCCCCATCCATATGAAGACGCCATTATCGCCATTCGGTCAGAACACTCCAAGAAGTGGAAGTTCATCAAGACAACAACCACTACTGCACAACCCTGTGTAAGTTATACGCATTTTATCCTATTCAAATATCTATCAATATCGTTATCACTTAATCGTGTGTTTTTTACGAATAACGATAATTGTAGGTGATACGCTTTGGCCATTGACACATAATCCAGTACACTGTCTTGAATGGTTTATTTTATAACTTCAGCATAGATTGATGAATACATTCTTGGTTCAGTTTTGAAATATTGACTGATATTTTGTATTATGTCTTTCCTTCAAATTCTTTTACTGGCCCTTTAATTGTAAGGCCTATTGTTGACAGGTACAAGCTATAATAAAAACAAATGGGAAATATTACAACTTGTAACTAAGGTAGTAAGTACATGTTATGTTATTTTCAACATTATTTTCCGGATTTTAAACGAAACATCTGTGACACACACTTCAACCTTCTCAACATGCAATTTACCCTTTTACACCATTTACATTTGTTATAGCATTGCTAGTTATGATTTACATGTTGTTCCTTATATATATTGTTAATACTTACAAATTTTATGGGCCATTTACACACTACACAAGTTCATGTCATTCTACTTACGTCCACGTGCTTGTCCATGCACTGACTATAACCCGGATGATTAACCAGGACAAACCAAAACATTAGAGAACTTAAATGAAGCTCTCATAAAAGAACTAAAATGACTTATCCTCACAAGTGGTAGCCTACAATAATAGTTTATTTCTTTTACAGAGGTATTTAGTGTTTATAGACTTCATAGTAGGGTTTCCTTGCAAGTTATTGCTTTTGTTAAATTGAAGGTTGTAATTCAGGGCCATAATCCTAAGACTTGGTTTGGGAATTATACTCAGGCAAAAATGAAAATACAGACACTCAGATTGGACCATATCGTATTTCAGATAAAACGTCGGGCATTGAAATCGACCTCAGATTCCGATACACCATGTTACTGCAAATAGTAGAGTCAACTTCTTGTGTAACACAAATAGTCGGTATGACGTGCCAGTATCTTTCCCCAATATATAATATTGATTAGTTGATTTGGCTGGACCCCCTTCTAAGATTATTATTTTTGTTTTGACATATTAACATTTAGCTCCGTTTTAAGCAATATTGAATAAAGGAATCTAATGATTTTTGTAATCCAGATTGGGTTTCGCTATTTATGACTGTATCGTCTGCGTAGAGTAATACTAAAATATGTAACCATACTGTGATGTCATTTCCTGATATACAGTCAATTAGATCCCTTGGCATCCTTGCTTAGTTAGATACGGTTCAAAATCATTTAAAAAAATTGAAAACAGTAGTGGTAATAGATTTTCGCCCTGTCTGACACCTGATTGACAAGGGAAATACTCCGATTCTGCATTATTTGATTGTACCATTGATTTAATATTACTGTACATATTTTTAACTAAAGTTAGAAATCGGCCCTCAATTCCAATGTTTTGCATTTTGGACCACAGTCCTACTCTCCAAACAGTTTCGAATGCCTTTGTAAAATCTATGCACGAACAATAAAGTATTTTTTTACAGTTTCAAAATATGCATCAACGAATGGATAACGAATATATTATCCGCAGTGTGAAATTGTTTCCTTAATCCCGACTGTGCTGGAGTTAGGATATTATTGGCATCTAGAAATTTTGTCAATCGTTCGTTTAGGATACTGGTGAATAGTTTTCCGAAACAGTTTAATATCGTAATAGGTCTATACAAGTTTGAATCAAATGGATCGCCTTTATTTTTGAAGATGGGTTTTATAATTCCCTACAGCCACGTTTCAGGGATTACACCACATGAGAGGATAAGATTGAAAAATTCTGAATATAGTCGGCCAAGTATTCAAGTGCTATCTAAACTAGTGTCCAAAAGAAACGATACCATCTTATTTTCAAAATTGTTTTTTACTAAGTGAATTGTCAAGTATGAAAACATGCCAATTCGTATTGCACATCCCAAACACAGCATAGTCGATAAAAAATACCGGGAACACGTGATCACTTCCGGGAAAAAACGTCAATTTCGTGAAAGTGACATTTCCCTCTCTAGCATGTTCTGCACGTGCAGAAAAACTGTACAAAACGGCTGATCAGACACGTTGATATCACAGCAACAAAAAGAACACAAGATATGCCACGTTTGACAGCCATCGAGAGAGAGAGAGCCGTTGGAATGGTCCAACAAGGAGCGTCACACGTCGACGTCGCCAGAAGTTTGGGCTGCGCACGCATCACTATCACCAGGTTGATGCAGCGGTTACGTCAGACAGGTCAGACGTCAGGCAGGCCCAGGAGTGGAAGACCACGAGTAACCACGCCCCGTGAAGATCGTTACATCCGGGTATTACACCTGAGGAACCGCACCGTAACAGCGACGTCCACGGCGGCTACAGCACTGGGACACAGGATCAGTCGACAGACCGTCTACAGGAGACTACGGCAGTATGGTATCCGGCCACGTCATCCCTACCGCGGACCGCTCCTGACGCCTCGACACCGGAACAACAGACTGATCTGGGCCAGGCGAGTTCGACGTTGGCAACGGCGGGAGTGGGCACGTGTTATGTTCTCTGATGAGAGCAGATTCCTCATCTTCAGAAACGATGGAAGGCAGCTTGTATACCGACGATTTGGTGAACGTTTGGCGCCTAACTGTATCCAACAGGTCCGGCCGTTTGGAGGTGGAGGGTTAATGGTTTGGGGTGGCATATGTGGTGACGTCAAAACGATGCTTGTCGTAATTCGTGGAAACCTGAATGCACAGCGTTATCTTGATGACATCCTACGGCCTGTTGTGGTGCCCTTTATTCAGCAACAGCCTCGTGGACTCCTTTTCCAACATGACAATGCAAGGCCACACACAGCAAGATTGACACAGAACTTCCTTGCCAACGCCAACGTACAGGTTTTGCCATGGCCCGCATGTTCACCGGACATGAATCCCATCGAGCACTTATGGGACCACCCCGATCGGCAAATCCGACGTCGCCGTGTGCCTCCAGTCAACGTCCAGGACTTGGAACGATGTCTCCTCGATGAATGGCAACGCATCACTCCCAACGTCATCAGACGTTTGACGTCATCAGTCCATAGGCGTGTTCTGGCATGTATTGATGCTCACGGTGGACATACCCGCTACTGACTTGACTTTGAGACGTGTGGTGTGACATTTCCCGTTGTTTCTGTGATCAGTGCTCTAACGAAATGTTCATTTTTCGACCCCACCCATCTTTAAAGGCTTGTCATATTGGTTGTACAGATTTTATTGAAATGAAATTTTTGTACAGATGTTGTGAAAGGATTTCTCAAAAGCATAACACCAATCCTAAACTTCTGCATTGTTTAGTTTTTCTTTTATGTCGTTGCAAACAGGTGGTATCGTTTCTTTTGGACACTAGTTTATTATATGATCATCCTCGACAAAATCTAGCTCGGAGGCCTTAATTCTTTCTTCAGTCGTTCCATTATCGTTTAAGATTTTACAATCATATACCAATGTTGAAGTTGCACACTCTTCTAATTCAGAATCATTGATTTCGTTTTCAATAACCTTTTAATAAACAAATAAGGAAGGAATTAATATCAGGAGTTTTCGGATTTGTTTCTTTCGTACATTTTGTTAGGATCTTCCAAAACTATTTAGGCGAGTGGTGAAGATTTTGGCGAAAAGTCTTATTTCAATTGTCTTGATATTTACGTATATACTTATCCATACATTTCTTGTAAGCCTTTGATTCTTAGTGATGTGGCAATTTATTAAATTCTGTTTACCATTTTTTTTAAGACGCCGTTTTGCTTTATTGAATTTCTTACGGGATCGTCAGAACCAAGGTTTATCTTTCTCCGAATTTGCAGCGTTAACAATTTCATTCGCGATTTCATTCTGTTTTGTCTCGACGGGTCGCCGTGACCTGTCCGTGCTTCGTGTGCAGTCTTCATCATTTTATTTATCTGTTCAACATGTATACTCTTTACGTATATATCCGATTTATCAAGTTTGTAATGTTTGGGTTTGTTAGCGGTATTTGTATAGATGCATGGTTGGCCTTTACATGGATTACTGACAGGAGGTTTGACTGCGCTAAGTGTAAAGGTGAGAGGGCAGTGCACGTCTGAGTAGAGGGGTGAGTAGTCAATTATATTATAATCAGAAAAGAGCGGAAGGCACATTTGCGATATAATAACATAGTCGATAACACTGTTATCCTTACAGGTTGTTTTACCTATCATTTTATCATTTCCTACCCTGCAATTACCAATAAACAGAACTGATTAATTTTTTTACAGATTTCAATAAGTTTAAAGCTAAAGTTATTTATTCTTGTTTTGTCCTGTGTTGCTCTCACGCGTGGCAACCCAAGTCCATCGAGCACAGATTCAGGGTTAAGTTCTAATCTAATTTCAACAAAATCCAAATTAACTTCTTCAATTATGTATTCGTCAAGATTTTCGTACTCGCATAGATTATTTCTCCGGGCATTAAAGTCCTCAATTAAAATGGCATACTCACTTTTTGTCATAATATTAATTATTGATTGCTCAATTTCATTAAACATATCGTTTGTAATATACTTTGATCCTTCGGGTGGGATATAAACAGTCCCCAATTAAAGATCCTGATCAAAATCAAATAGAGTTTCAGCTTTTTGTGACCAGACAAGGAAATGTATTTGTTTTCTTAAAGCCTGCCATCAAAGGAAAGTAAAAATGCAAGAAGCGTATCTCTTATTTATGTTAAAACTAGCTTGAAAATAACACTAAGATCAGGTTCTTAAACAGGAGCCAGTTGCAATTGCTGGCGGTTTGTTGGCGGTTTGTGAACGTCACTATTTACGGCAACCACGCTCACGCCATGGGTTTTCAAACCAGTGAACACACAGACCACGGTGTGACGTTGAAATTATTCTGAGCTAGAAACGCAGCTCTGATACGAGAAACACAGCTCTGATACGAGAAACACAGCTCTGATACGAGAAACACAGCTCTGATACGCGAGAAACACAGCTCTGATACGCGAGAAACACAGCTCTGATACGAGAAACACAGCTCTGATACGAGAAACACAGCTCTGATACGCGAGAAACACAGCTCTGATACGAGAAACACAGCTCTGATACGAGAAACACAGCTCTGATACGAGAAACACAGCTCTAATACGAGAAACACAGCTCTGATACGCGAGAAACACAGCTCTGATACGAGAAACACAGCTCTGATACGAGAAACACAGCTCTAATACGAGAAACACAGCTCTGATACGCGAGAAACACAGCTCTGATACGAGAAACACAGCTCTGATACGAGAAACACAGCTCTAATACGAGAAACACAGCTCTAATACGAGAAACACAGCTCTGATACGAGAAACACAGCTCTGATACGCGAGAAACACAGCTCTAATACGAGAAACACAGCTCTAATACGAGAAACACAGCTCTGATACGAGAAACACAGCTCTGATACGAGAAACACAGCTCTAATACGAGAAACACAGCTCTGATACGCGAGAAACACAGCTCTGATACGAGAAACACAGCTCTGATACGAGAAACACAGCTCTAATACGAGAAACACAGCTCTGATACGCGAGAAACACAGCTCTGATACGAGAAACACAGCTCTGATACGAGAAACACAGCTCTGATACGAGAAACACAGCTCTAATACGAGAAACACAGCTCTGATACGCGAGAAACACAGCTCTGATACGAGAAACACAGCTCTGATACGAGAAACACAGCTCTGATACGAGAAACACAGCTCTAATACGAGAAACACAGCTCTGATACGAGAAACACAGCTCTGATACGAGAAACACAGCTCTGATACGAGAAACACAGCTCTAATACGAGAAACACAGCTCTAATACGAGAAACACAGCTCTAATACGAGAAACACAGCTCTGATACGAGAAACACAGCTCTGATACGAGAAACACAGCTCTGATACGAGAAACACAGCTCTAATACGAGAAACACAGCTCTAATACGAGAAACACAGCTCTAATACGAGAAACACAGCTCTGATACGAGAAACACAGCTCTGATACGAGAAACACAGCTCTAATACGCGAGAAACACAGCTCTGATACGAGAAACACAGCTCTAATACGAGAAACACAGCTCTGATACGAGAAACACAGCTCTGATACGAGAAACACAGCTCTAATACGAGAAACACAGCTCTGATACGAGAAACACAGCTCTAATACGAGAAACACAGCTCTGATACGAATGGAACAACCGTTGGGGCTAAATTGTATCGCCGTACCAAACATCAATCAGTGAGTGAGTGAGTGAGTGAGTATGGTTTTACGCAGCTTTTGGCAATATTCCAGCAATATCACGGCAGGGGACCCCAGAGATGAGCTTCACACATTGTACATTCCCATGTTGGGAATCGAACCCGGATCTTCAGCGTGACGAGCAAACTCTTTAACCACTAGGCTACCCCACCGCCCCCGAACATCTAACAAGTTACCATCAAGAACGTGAGGGTCCGAGCAGCACGCCCTGAAATGTCTGCTGTCTGGATACTTCCTCCTCTGAACTTGTCCAGTTACATAACAAAATGCATCCACGTTACCATCAATCACGCAGAGATTAAATTGATCACATAAATAGAGACTACTAAACAAGTCCACATCAGATACCGTTTTTTTATATCAACGAGAGTATGTTCCAGAGAAATTGTTAGATACCTTTGGAAATACACGAGTTGTATACACACGGTAACTAACAGCGATGAGTGTAGTAATTTATATATTACTCACTTGAACTTTGCTTAGTCGAAATTTAGAGTTGGAAATGGATGTGTTTGTTTGTTTTGTTTGTTGTTTAACGCCGTACTCTGCATTATTCTACCTATATGACGGCAGTCTGTAAATAATCAAGTCTGGACCTGACAACCCAGCGATTGACATCATGCGTACCGAGTCAGTAAGCCCGACAACCCGATCCCGTTAGTCGCCTCTTACGACAAGCGGGGTCGCTGAAGACCAATTCTAACCCGGATGTTCACGGGTCTGTGGGTATGAGGGTGGCGTGTGAACACAACATTCGCAGCTGATGATCCCACCATTGTTCTCTTTAGATGCGACTTGGCAAAATAACGTGGGCAATCTCGGTTCAGTGTGTATGAGTGGAGTCTGCGAGACGATCGACTCATCGAAGCATGTCACGATGACTGTGTGTTTTCATGCGAGTCAGCAGATGTCTTTTATGAAATGGGTTGTGATTACCGTTTATCTACACCAGCGGAGCACGAATGGTTCACGACATGAGATTGCATCGATGGCCATGAGGATATTTCTAACGACTGTCCTTCCTTCCAAGGGGCGCTACTCTCATTTACAACACGAAGTTCAAGGTCGCAAGCAGACGCTGCGATGAATGTTGTGATGACCTTTCGACGGAGTGTTTTGATTCTTAGTTATGCTGAAAACCGTTATAATGCCACGAGGGCGGTCGGGTAGCTTAGTGGTTAAAGCGTTCGCTCGTCATGCCGAATACCCGGGTTCGATTCCCCACATGGGTACAATGTGTGAAGCCCATTTCTGGTGTCCCCCGCCGTGATATTGCTGGGATATTGCTAAAAGCGCCCTAAATCTATACTCACTATAATGCCACGATACTTGCACAACAACAATACAAAAATGAGAGTCCGTATACTCTCGCTATTTCAAACGTAGTCCAACCATAAATCACAGGCATCTGCAAAAACTAACGGACCTGACATATTCGCGTAAACTATAGGTCAATAATCCATTTTTGAAATGCATGCGTTGTGTGTCTTTGCGTCTCAGGTGTTGTTTGAAAACGGGAATAGATTATCCGTCTAGGTTGTTGGTTTGTTGATTAACGCCCCACTCAGCAATATTATATATTTATACAATGTAAAAAATCGAGTCTGGATCGATGACATGCATCGATCTAGTCAGCGTGCCGGACCATCCGATCCCGTTAGGCTCCTCTTACGACAAGCATAGTCGCCTTTTATGGCAAGCATGGGTTGCTGAAGACCTATTCTACCCCGGATCTTCACGGATCTATCCGTCTAGGAGATGACATTGCAGAGTGCAGTTGCTTCAGTGCTCACAACGCCACCTTCGAAAGACCAGCTGATGCCACAAATATCCCCTTTCGCACGTGTTGTTATAAAAGCACTGTTTAATAAAGGCGTATTGTTATCAAGCGGGTGATCTCTTCACGGGTGAATAATAAATATATGTCCAGATGTTGACGTGACCAAAGGAAACGTACTTGTCTGTGGCGGGGTCACAGAATGAGTCGCCTCACTGAAGTTCGAGCTCTGATGTTGTGAGCTTGTTGTCTGTTCTATATCGTCTGGTCACAGACATCAGTCTGTCGAGCCAAACTGGCAGGACTTGAGAAACGGTAACGGCTTGAACAGTTGTCTCCCTTGTTCTACCTTTCCGAGGAACTTCATTGGTGGTTCCTGTCATCGTGTGAATTGAAACATTAAAACGTGGTATAACCAGAGGCCCACTTGCGTTCATTTTGTGTCAGTCGTGGGATTTTTTCCCTCGGTTGTCTTGTCAATACATACACACATTAACAATCCCATGGAAACCATGGAAACCATGCAACTGAGTTGCGACATGCCTTTTCCAAGTATTCATGTACAGTAAACTACGTTTATAACGAACACGCTTATAACGAACTGATGGATAAAGCGAACTTACTTTTTTGTCCCGACTATTTGCCGTAGTTATGCTCTACATATGCTTATAACGAACTACGGTTATAACGAACTAAAATAAAATGTCCCTTTGAGTTCGTTATATCCGTAGTTTACTGTGTTTCTACTCAAGGTCGTATAAATACATGCAGCACACGTGATTGGCACGTGCATGATGAAGTGTTGTGTTTGGAAACACAACTAAGCATCAATGAAATATTCCAATTAATGATTTAACTATGAATACACAATGCCATTTAGAAAGTGGTCAAACGTTACAAATGTAATATGGGGGCCGCGCAAATGTACATTGGTCAGAGTACGCAAAGTACGTGATCTAAACTACCAGTTATGGAAGCCAAGGGGGGCTGAGTGGGTTAGATTGTTGACTTTGTGTGGTTGTGATTTGGTGCTTCACTCTGAGAGCGTGGGTTCGTATCCCAGATGGGACTCAACCCCAAAAAGTACTAAGATTTGTACTAAGGAAGTGTTATCCTAAATATAACATTTGTTTCAAATTTTACTAGATTCAAATTATCAAGCCATTATACCGCTGAAAGAGTTCAAGTGAGAGGATGTAAATCAATTACTTTGCTTGAATACTTTGTTGCAGTTTGAATTTCAGTTTCAGGATTCCGGAAATGGAGGTGAAGGACTCATGGTTGCTTGTTTAAGCGACACTCTTCCAGATTACATTGCATGTGTCTCGGAGCCGAAAGCTTTCGTTCAGTCCGTTACGCCATCTGGTGGCGAGTTTTCACTTCCGTTTGAGCCAAGGTCAAGGTTCTTCTATGAGCGAGGATGTGTAAATGCACCCTGTGATGTGACGATTAAGGTAAGTGTTTCTTACACAGTAATCACCAAGGTATCTGAAATAATCTTTATTGTAGAGGGGATGCGATACCAGGATGGGAGTGACTTGACTGGAAGGCCGCATTGAACAATATTTCAGTTAAATGACGATATGTCAGCTTGATGTGAGAAGATGAGGTGAAATGGAGTTTAACGTTGCGTCAAGATTATTGCACTTAAATAGCGACGTGCATGCATGTATGTGTGTCTGTTTGTACTAGTCCGGACTGATGGTGATTTATAGTGCTAGCTCACTGAGATACCATGCCGCAGTTTAACATGGTGAGGTGAGGTGAAATTGGGTTTAACGTCGCGTCCAAGATTATTGCACTTATATAGCGACTTGCATGTACGTGTTTGTGTTTGTGTGGCTGCTTGTACTAGTCCGGACTGATGCCGATTTATAGTGCTAGCTCACTGAGATACCATGCCGCAGTGTAACATGAATACCTCACTCAGACACAATATACTGATTCCGAGCTCATCAGGTTTAGCCCATTAATGCCGAGCGCCAGGCAGAGTAACAACAAGTACCATCTTTTACCGTCTTTTGGTGTGAAGCGGCCGGGAATCGAACCTCGGACCTTCCGCTGTCGAGGCGGACGCTCTACCACTAGACCCAGGAAGCTGAGAGAAAAAAATATCCTGATGTATATCGTGGGACCCGTGAAGATCCGGGGTAGTATAGGTCTTCCGCAACCCATGCTTGCCGTAAAAGGCGACTATGCTTGTCGTAAGAGGCGACTAACGGGATCGAGTGGTCAGGCTAACTGACTTGGTTGATGCCTGTCATCGTATCCCAATTGCGTGGATCGATGTTCATGATATTAATCACTGTAATGTCTGGTCCAGACTTGATTATTTACAGACCGCAGTCACATAGCTGGGATATTGCTGAGTGCGGCGTTAAACAACAAACAAACAAACAAAGCATATCACTGACGTTTACTACATTGTTGAGACCCAGGAGCACGACTGTGGTGCTGAGAAAGCAAGAATCATGAGCAGGGAGAATCTGAGATTTGAATGCACAGTCACAGGATCGTGGCACGGCTAAGGGACGCAATTCGGCACGACGCATTTATCCGCCCGATTCTGTATCAATACAGATTTGTAGGAGCTATAATTGAACAAGATCATGATAAGGTTAGGTGCTCAGTTTAATTATGAATAAATGTCTAAAAGCCGACCTACATGTTGGCCTTGATGAATGAAACACTGAAAGATGATGATCCTGTTGCCTCTTTTGTCCCTTAAGAACAATCTCCATATGGGAAGTATAGAAAGTTGGACTGCCTTTTTGCCCCCGTCCGCATTGAACCTCACAACGCTTATTGAAGCAGCACATTTTCCCCAAACACCAATCTCATTTTATGTTGGTGTATTTAATTAGCTCATGTCATTGTTTCGAATATATTCTGTAAACAAAATGAAAAAAAAAGGGACAGGCAGCCCGAGTAATTGTGTACATTGTACGTAAGATGTACTGGGGATATTCTGTGCCCCGGAATCGAACCCGTGAAGATCCGAGAAAGAATAGGTCCCATGCTTGTCATAAAAGGCGATTATTCTTGTCGTCGATGCATGCCATCGTATCCGACATACGTAGATTGATGCTCATGATACCGATCACTGGATTGTCTGGTCCAGCCTCGATTATTTACAGACCGCCGTCATATAGTTGGAATGTTGCGTTGAACGAAAAGCAAGCAAACAAACAAATTCTACCGTAGTTGTTCGTGACATGTTCCCCTTCCTGTTCACCACACACAGCTGATACCACGGCCTCCAGTCCCGATTGTTCAGATCATCCCCGGGGGGAACCTCATGTGTCCTGTCAAGGTGGAGACTCCATTTCTGTCAGACAACTATGAATACAGTAAGTATTTACTCTGTTAGTAGTTATGGTAACTAATAAAATGGTATGTCGACTACTGAGGAATACATTGTTATGGAAACATTGTCTGTACATTTCCATGTTTCCAAGTCCTGTGCCCACTTGCACAAAGCGATCGTAGCGCTACCACTATTGTAAGCTTATGTTAAAGTATGTTACGATCATCTTAGCGCTAAGGTCGCTTTGTGCAAATAGGCCCTGATCATAATGATCGAACAGTTGGAAAAATTCGGGTACTCCTCCAGTTAATGGGTAATTTCCATTCGCCCACTCTCACCTGAGTGAGTGAGTGGGTGGGTTTGGGTGAGTGAGTGAGTAAGTGAGCGAGTGAGTTGGTTTTATAAGTATTGCAGTTATATCACGGCGCGTCTAATGTGGGAGGAAAGCCCGAAGAAATGCAGACGTTTACCACTTTGGTGTGAAACCCAGGAGCCCGGGTATTGTGCTGAGAAACCTTGAAACACAATCGGGGCGAAACGGGATTCGAACCCATGATACTAGGTCTCGGTTGTGTCCAAGGGACGCAACTTTACACAGCGAAATGCGCGCCTTAGACGACTGACCAGAAATACCATAGTGTAAATGATGAATGTTCACGCGATACTGTATATCTTTTAATAAGTTGTGGTAACGTAAATATTTCTCGTCAGATCCTGAGTCCGCCTGGCTTGTTCTGAGCAGCACTTCCGACAACCAGTGGTGGAAAGCCCCGACACAGATAGCGGTGGAGCGCTCTATGGTCATATTCCAGGCATATGTTGGTCCAGCAGGGTAGGTCAAACTAAACTGAGGGGCTGAACAAAGTATTCACTTGAAAATCAGATTTGAACACAATATTACAAACATTATCAGAAAGTGTATAGGCTGCAAACGGAAGCAGAAACACAGCAAACCTAAGGTCTAAAACACAACTATGACAACAGTGTTAAACACGTCACCTTCGAATAACCATTTCTTGTTTGTTTCATTTTTAGCCACCATCAATCACGGGGGTATACGTTCTTTTGCCAGAACAAAAAACCAACAGGGCATTGGGGCTGAGAAATATTCACATCCGTGCACAGATGTACCAACTGTCTATAAGAACAGGACCCACTTGCACAAAGTAATCTTGGCACTACAACTATTGTAAGCCTATGTTAAAGTATGGGAGTTACTATCCTCTTAGCGCTAAGATAGCTTTGTGCAAGTGGGCCAAGGTCCTTTAGCTTCTATAGCACCCAACGAAGCTGACCAAACAGCATCATAAAATAGTATTATTAAATAAATTAATCAGAATATGTATGATGCATTGTTGAATACGTCCTCGAACGAACTAAGTCAGTTGGCCTCGTCACATCTTTTACCGTTTATACAGTATACTGACATTATATCTTGCAGTTGCTATTTTTGCGTTACGGGCCCCTGTGGTTCATACTTCAAGAAAATTGATATATATATATATCCTGATATCCTGATTCAGTTATTAAATATAATAATATTTTAAGATGCTGTTTGAAATTTGGTCAGATTCATTTTTTTTCATGGAAGCTATAGGACCTATTCTTATAATTAAATATTTATTTAATAATTTATAGGAAACATAGCCACTCAAAGACACGTAATATTTAATAATAATATTTTTATTAGTCCATGATATAGAGCATGCTAAAAGCGCACTATAATTAGCTTGGTCAATAAAGACGTGTGCACTCGACTTTCAATCTCAGCTCCCTGGGGAGTATACAACCCAAAGTGCCTTTATGACCCTGGAAGGCTTACAGTTACACTTCTCTCTCTTTTATGGCGCCAATGCAGAATACATTAATTTTAAGCATTCCTTCTATACATTTCCAGCATACGGATATCATTTTGCCCGAAGGTGTCTGAGCTTCAATGGGTAAGTTGATTCCTCGTCTATAGTAGGGCCAACTGATCGGAAACTGCAGCTGTTCATGGTTAAACATTAATGTCGAAAGTAGGTCAAACGTGATGGACGTACGTTCCGCTGAACCGACGCTGGACATTGGGTTATGAATATTCAATGACCTCACTATAGCTCCAAGTGTAGCAGCAGCTGACCCCTTTCATGATACTCAGAAAGTGAGTGAGTATGGCTTTACGCGCTTTTAGCAATATCCAGCAATATCACGACGGGGGACACCAGAAATGGGCTTCACACATTGTACCCATGTCGGTAATCGAACCCGGGTTTTCGGCGTGACGAGCGAACGCTTTAACCACTAGGTTACCCCGCCCAGTTTAACTTGTCGGAATAAACGCTATCACTGCCATCACTACACTGACATGCCGACCTAAAGCAACCAATATTTTTCGATAATTATTCTATCTAAATGTCGGGTCCATTCAATCCGACTTATGGAGAATTGTTCTGATGGTTACAGATAGGCCTGCTGTGGTCTCAATTCATTCCAAACACAACGCGTGAGAGAATTTGAGCGATATACGGGTTTGAATCATCCAGTTAGGAACATTGTAGGTTTGTGTCCATTCCTAACTCTTTGATGGGTGACATGACATCGGAGTCTTAATTAATATTATTCCAATTTTTTTAAACCCAAGTCTTTAATCAATTCAATAAGCGACAAGAAATGTTGCTATCTATTGCCGGTACCACGTGAGGATCATTAAAAAACAACTCCAAATGATACAATGAAGCCAGCGTTTTGTTGTGAAGTACATACTATTATGCTGTCGTTATAATGTCATATCGACAGAAGTCAAGAATTATTCAGCTATCGAAATGACGTCACAATACCTGGTGCACAATAGTGCGCCTGGTGGCAAGATCGGGTACTGTGACTTCAGTTCTCAATGCAATGTTCTGTGTAACACAATATATATATGTATTTCGACATACAATGTATCTGTAAACATGACGACATACAATGTATCTGTAAACTTATCGACATACAATATGTCTCTAAACATGTCGACATACAATGTATCTGTAAACATGTCGGCATACAATATACCTCTAAACATGTCGACCTACAATATATCTCTAAAACAGGTCGACCTACAATGTAACTGTAAACATGTCGACATACAATGTAACTGTAAACATGTCGACATACAATGTATCTCTAAATATGTCGACATACAATGTATCTCTAAACAAGTCGACATACAATGCATTTCTAAACATGTCGACATACAATGTATCTCTAAACATGTCGACATAAATGTATCTCTAAACATGTCGACATACAATGTATCTCTTAACATGTCGACATGCAAAGTAACTCTAAAACATGTCGACATACAATGTATCTATAAACATGTCGACTTACAATATATCTCTAAACATGTCGACATACAATATATCGCAAAACATGTCAACATACAATATATCTCTAAACATGTCGACATACAATGTATCTCTAAACATGTCGACACACAATGTATCTCTTAACATGTCGACATTCAATGTATCTCTAAACATGTCGATAAACAATGTATCTCTTTACAGATACAACGTGTCCACGGAGGAAAACCGTCAGGTAAGTTTGTCCTGCATACAAATAAAAGCGACAAAACCTTTTCCATGTTCATCAGAAAAATATACTAAAACAAGGGTACATTGTGCGATTCCGACCATATCGCCCGAGAACTAGATGTTTATATGTCCACATTGGCCAAACTTTATGTTATTGCATTTTCTTACCAGATGGATTATTTTCTATTATTATTGTAACTTTCATCCAACCCAAATAGCTAGGAAGTCCCTTTAACAGTGTGTGTCAGTGGTCCTATGTCCACAACGTCGTCAGTTGCTCAAAACCAAAATTTTATATGTGCTTTTTCAATCAATGTCTTAACACGGATCATGTGACATTAAACAGGACAACTTTGTTCCAAATCATTTGAAGATAAAACCATATGGTTATCATAACTATATCAATTGTATAATGTGAACATAGAGAGTTAAATTTTGTGATCTAGGAACCTTAACAATGATTGAGATTTGATGAGTTGATTACATTATGCTGTCTGAAGTATCTGGTCGGAGTTTGTTTTGTTTGTTTGTTTGTTGTTTAACGCTGCACATAGCAGTATTCCAGCTATATGACAGCGGTCTGTAAATAATAGAGTCTGGACCAGACACTCATGTGATTGATATCATGAGTATCGATCTACGCAATTGGGCTACGAGGACATGCATCAACCAAGTCTGCGAACCTGACCACCCGATCCCGTTAGTCGACTTACGACAAGCATGGGTTGCCGAAGACCTATTCTACCCTGGGTCTTCTCGGGTAATCTTGCCCATGGGGCGATTCCAGACCCACCCTCTCAGAGTGAAGAACAGCGAGGCAGAGTGAGGCACCTTATCGCCAACAGGCACTGACTTAGTGTGCTGGCGAGAATGGGGGTTCGAATCCTGGATGCGACTCAACCAAAAAGTACTTGAATTTGTACTTTTCTAACAAAGTGATATCCCAGTTATAACATTTGTTACATTTGACCACTTTCTAAAAGGCATTGTGTATTCAAATAACAATTTATCCTAAGGTTTTGCAAATTGAAAGACATGCACTTGACATGGCCTGAAAGACAATGTGTTTAGGGTAAACACAATGTCTGGAACCAAAGTGTATACAGTAAACTACGGTTATAACGAATACGGTTATAACGAACTAACGGATATAACGAACTAACTTTTCAGTCCCGACTATATGCTGTAGTTATGCTGTATATATGCTTATAACGAATAACGGTTATAACGAACTAAAATTAGTTGTCCCTTTGAGTTCGTTATAATCGTAGTTTACTGTATTTCCAAGCGTTGAAAAAGACACTTAACTCCCGACTATTTATGTAATTAAACATGCCTTCTGTAAAGAAAACACAGACTGGTGTCTTCTGGTCGAGTATTTATTGCTACATTTTGACGTGCATCAGCAAAATATGTTTCACTATGTATTCCCAGAACTTATAAACCATGACTTCCTGGTTCGACTCTCACAACTGGTTGATAGGGATTGGACAGCGCTGGCGTCATCCCTCGGCTTTTCATATGCTCAAATAACCAAGATGGCATCTGACCACGAAGTTAAAACACAGAGCGAAATGGGTTGCTATATGCTGTCAATGTGGTTTAAACAGATACCTGTGTCAGCTGACAAGGTAGGGCTTGTGAATAACTTTGAGCGTGTGAGTTGTCATTGAATGTATGTGAGCTCTCAAGAGACTAAGTTTTGTCCGGATCAATAATGTGGAATAAATGGTCAGTTATTCATAATTTTGAGTTTTCGATTTTGTTACCAAAGAAGTTATCTGCCGACTTCAGATTTCAAATCTCACCCTGCTATTTCAAAGAAAACTATGGGGACATCATAGTTGATTAATGTCACCCTACTCGTCATAATCTGTCAAATGATGTTTACAGTATGTAAAAAACAATCATATGGATTTTGTTTTTTTTGTTTATTTGTTGTTTAACGCCGCACTCAGCAATATTCCAGCTATATGACGGCGGTCTGTAAATAAGCGAGTCTGGACCAGACCATCCAGTGACTGACATCATGAGCATCGATCCACGCAATTGGGACCGATGACATGCATCAACCAAGTCAGCGAGTCTGACACCCTATCCTGTTAGTCGGGTGGTCAGGCTCGCTGACATTGTTGATGCATGTCATCGGTCCCAATTGCGTGGATCGATGCTCATGATGTCAATCACTGGATGCACATGGATTTTGAACATATAGAAGTATAACTTTTTTCACTTGAGAGTCATTATGATATATTTCACTATTATTAGGTCAAATCTCAAGAGGTTCCCGTCCAACAGGTTTTGTTTGTTTGTTTCGTTATTGAATCGTATGTTCCCTCTGTTGTAAATCTGCTTGAAATACACCCTGACATGTTTTAACTGTTGTTATAATTATTCAGCATTTGTTAACGTTATATTTTGTGTGTTCAACGATGTTTATACTGGCACTTGGAAATTTGTTGTTTTTGTCACTTTTCTTATCACATGTGTCACATTTATCTATAAAACCTCGTATACATATTATGAACATAAGTATATGGTGCACCTACATGTATGTGCATGTTCATATTGTCTGTCAAAATGTATCGTCCAATTATAATACACCGATCCACTAGGCTCCGCCTCCAGCTTAAGCCACACCCACTCGGTCAATCTGACGTGACGCAAATTTGACATTGTTCATTATTTACGCATTCGCTAATAACAAATTCTGAAGATTTGCGATGTAATTGCGTTCACAATGTCCACAGGAGATAATTTCATTGTTTGACATTATGAAAATGATCGTTATTTATGAATTTGTATCCTCAGAGCAGGGAACAGCAACTGATATCAGCTTAAAATTCTAACGTTGTAATCCTTGTGTAAATACCATAAACATAATACACAAATATACGGTGACAGTTCTGACATTATACAGAATTAATTGCTTTTGAGAATAAATAGAAAGCACACTTAATGGTTTTTTTTTCAAGTTTGAAATATATATAAATTTCTGAGGAAATGTTTCGTTAAGTTATGTACATCAATAATGAACTCGAATACTTTTGTATTCTATTGTATTTCGATCTGTAGATATTTGTTATCAATTTCAAATTTCCTATTGTAATATCTCAATAAGGGGATCATGTCATAATCATTAGTAGATATTTAAAATATCCAAAGTCAAAGAAAAACATCGGCGATGTTCATTGCACTGTGCACGTTAAATTATTCAACCTGGAGCAAAGATGCTTCCAACAACTGAGAGAATTGTGATATTACCGCGGTAGGTCAATTTCATAATTTTTATCAACTTTTGAAGGATATTCTTCTAAATCATTACCAAATTTGAAAATTGGATGGACATCAGTCAATGCCCGAGACAACCAATCTGGAACCCTCATCACACACATCATCCGGAAGTGTACTTCTGACCTCATTAAGGCCGATCATGTCTATTCTATTGTTGTAAAAACAAAATTCCCTGAAAATGTGCTTCCTCATGCATTAGCACAAAGTAGTTTTAAGGATATTATTTAGTTACAGTTAAATATCAGGAGTTTGCACTGGACCCTGAATGAATAAATGGCTATCCAGGAACATGTAAATTAATCAAATATCACTGAATTTATTTCACAAACACACCCTAAAAATAATTACCCCTTTTACATATACGATTTTTGTAAAATGAACTAGAGGCCAAAATGGCTTCAAAGGGCCATTTTCTAGCTTCATTTGCCTAAAAGTAACACAGTCGTATCTGACGCATCTAGCAAAGAAAACGTCGACCGACTTAATGGAATGGTTTGTTTGCTGTTTAACGCCGCACTCAGCAATATTCCAGCTATATGACTGCGGGACTTAATGAAATGAATCAATAATGTGAAGGATACCTGTCTGGTACGTCAACTGCTTCAAACCATCAATAAAAAGGTTAAACTTTCAGGAAACCTAAGAACATACATGTTAGCACCTGCTTTCAGCTTTCGCTGATCGCGTCTGACGCTTTGAAGCCGAGAAGTTGAGATCAATCGCAGATTTGTTTATTAATAACGTTTATGGATCGGATTATTGTTGTCATTCATGTGATTATTGTACTACGTGTTACTTGTGTTACATTAGGTCTGTCTTCAGCATCTCATGCTTGTCGTACGAGGCGACTAACGGGATCGGGTGGTCAGGTTGCTGACTTGGTTGATGCATGTCATCGTATACCAAATGCATGGATCGATGATCATGATGTCAATCACTGGATTGCGTGGTCCAGACTCGATTATTTGCTGACTGCGACGTTAAACAAACAACAAACAAATACAATGGCCCTGTATGCATGCCTTCAAGCAGGATGACACGAGGAGACCAATATATTTAAATAGACAATAAGGCCAACGTTAAGATTCGATATTCACCTTGAATGTTGCTCGCCATGCAGTCATCCCTGACCATGGCGCCTTTGTATTAGATCGGGCCAGTTAGACAGATAGATTTCATTGTGACTTGTGACAAAGGTTTGTGTTTGTGTTTACTGAAGTGGTCGGTCAATGTACTGTTTTTCGTTGTCTACAACCAAAACTCAGACATTACAATTATCTGAGGGAAGAAAGACAATATTGTCTCTGTGAAAACAATCTTGTTGAAAATGAGTATCATTTTTAATGGTGTGTGATAAACATACATATATTTGTTCTAATTATATACCAAGGAAGTTTATTTCAATTACTTCTGCTCATAAATTTTAAATATCCATGGCAAGTACAAGTGAATATGATATGTTGTTAAAACCTTACTATGCACATGTATTATGCTAATAGCTTAAGAGAATTACAGTAAACAACAGTTATAACGAACTCAAAGGGACCACTAATTTTAGTTCGTAATAACCGTAGTTCGTTATAAGCATATAAACAGCATATATAAACCAAATGTCCGGGACTAAAAAATAAGTTCGTCATATCCGTCAGTTCGTTATAAGCGTGTTCGTTATAAACGTAGTTTACTGTAACTGTATCATGTATCTCTTCTACCAATGTTTGACCAATGTCGTAGGCGTCAGTATGGACCTTCAATTTTACTGAAAAAGACTAAAGACTATTTACTATTATTATTTGGACGTTTAATAAATAATTTTGATATGTGGCGAATCTTATCCGTTTGAATATCACCGAAATGCTTGTGAAGCCTTTAATGTTGTGGCTTAAACATGAGAAAATGTGTGAAGATTTCATGTCGTGATCACCCGCTACAATGGGCGAGTTATTCATCATCCCATCATTCACTACAGGCACACTCCTTGAAGCTGGCAATCAGGACACTGGGCCGAACAGATATAAGTGACTGGTTCGAGGCACGGGAAGTAGCCTACAAAACGGAAATGGCAGACTCTGTGAGAGGTACCTATTATTCTGTCACACTGATGACGCTATGCTTAAAGTTTTATGGTAGACATGTAGAGGACATCGTTCAAGGTGTGTTGAGGTAAGCAATTGACTTGCCTTTGCATGTGTTTGAGACGGGTACCTTTTTACGAATACCTAGTATCATCACTATTTCATAGTGATTCATAAACACATCCTCATGATACAATCGGAATCGTACAATCGACTCTGCTTTATGCAGAGATTTCTATCGGATGAGGAAAGGTTGTTTTTAGCTTTATATAATTATGCAACCTGCTTGAATAATCGGGTATTTAAATACCGACATGTACTTTGAACAGACAAAATAACTAGTATGGCTTGTGTATTGTTTTTAAGGTAAACGACAGGTCAGAAATATTTTCGAACTCAATTCCGATCTCTCAAAGTTCGGTGAGAGTGAGTGAGTAATTTGGCTTCAACGACGCCTGGAATAGTATATCAGTTATATCATGGCGCGTCAGCTTTTATAGACGAAGAAGGAACGTAGCCACGTTGTACGTCGTAGGCTTTTACCAATTCGAAGACTAAATAAGGATAATAATCTCAGCGAATCATGGATTCGAATTGACGACTGCGCCACATGCTCCTTGTATCCATTACCTGATCTAACAACATGTATTGTGCCATGAAAAAGAATGATTGATGTTTATGTTTGTATATTCTTTTCAAGGGACTAAAATGGTGAAAGCATTCCACACAGCCGTTCGCCACGACGACATGTGTAGCGCCTGGCGTCGTCTGGCTGTAGTGCTGGCCCTTCCAAAAGAAGAGATCACTCAAATCGATTGTGCAGCCGCAAGAACCAACAGCGAAAAGCTTTTTGTTATGTTGATGAAATGGTTGAATCTGTACCCTGGTTCAAACTTAAAGACCTTACAGGAGAAGCTTGTGCAAGCAGGATTTCCCCTGGTGGCCAGTAAGTATAATCACCAATTCCACAACGGTTTGTTTGTTTGTTGTTTAACGCCGCGATCAGCAATATTCCAGCTATATGACGGCGGTCTGTAAATATCGAGTCTGAACAAGACAATCTAGTGATTGACATCATGAGCATCGATCCACTCAAATTGGATACCATGGCATGCATCAGCAAAGTCAGCGAGCTTGCCCACCCGATATCGTTTGTCCCCTCTTACGTCACGCATTGTCGCCTTTTGAGGAAGCATGAGTTGCTGAAGACCTATTCTACCCCAGATCTTCACGGGTCAGCTATGCAACGAGTTTGTCTTCTTCGAGAGAAGGGGGGCATGGGTGGCCCAATCGTTGAAGTTGCGTTGTGCCACTTAGGCATGCCAGATATCTATGTTCATGGGTTCGAATTCAAGATTCACCCTGATTATGTTTCTACATTTATCACCGCCATATTAATAGTCGGGGTAAAAGTCCGAAGCCGACATCGCTTCTGGTGAGAGATATATAGCTGGGTCCAAATCCCTGCCTCAAAGATTGATCATAATCCTTAATACAATCAAGAAAGGGCCTTTTTATATTTCCAGAATGTATTGGCGATGTTAATCTCATGTTGATTCTAAAAAAAGGTTTGTTGACTTTTTGCTATCTCAAAAAAGAACCAAGTTGAATTGTGTCACAACATTTGGTTTTCTTTATGCACCACTTTCCCACATGACAAACGTTTGGACAAACTTCATTCCTTGATCCATGGGGCTTTTGTTACAAAACGTGGTGACCACAGACACAGTTACATATCTATCTGCAGAGGGTCAAGACAATTTGTCAATAATGAAAGCAAATGCCATCTGAAATTTACTGAGAAAACAAATTGTGAAATGCTGTACTTTCTCTTAAGTAACATACCCGTGAAGATCCGGGGTAGAATAGGTGTTCAGCAACCCATGCTTGCGACTATGCTTGTCCTTGGAGGCGACTAACGGGATCGGGTGGTCAGGCTCGCTGACTTGGTTGATGCATGTCATCGGTCCCAATTGCGTGGATCGATGCTCGTGATAATAATCGCTGGATTGTCTAGTCCAGACTCGATTATTTACAGACCGCCGTCATATAGCTGGAATATTGCCGAGTGCGGCGTTAAACAACAAACAAACCAAACAATAATTAGTAACATGCCATCTGAAGTTTACTGAGAAAACCAATTGTGAAATGCTGTACTTTCTCATTAGTAACATCTATGCAGCACTTTGGGTTGAGACATTTAGGCAAGAAGTTAGCATCCCCATGGGCACCAATTGAGTTCCACTTCTTGGTGATCTGTTTCTTTATGCATATGGATCTCGGATTGGCAATGTCAAAACAAGGTCATTTGGCCACGAACGAAGTTTTACGTGAGCTTCAGGTATATCGATGATCTGATATCATTCAATAATGGTCAAACAATCATGTGAAAGCCGGGTATCATCACTATTTCATAGTGATTCATAAACTTATGATCAGGACACAGTCGGAATCGTACAATCGACTCTGCTTTTATCAGAGAAGTCTTGTGGCTGTGGAAGGGTTTTGTCGCTTATATTTCCCCTCACAGTACTTTTCTGTGTCTGCTTGTACAGTGCTAGCCCACAGAGATACCATACCGCAGTTAAACATGGATACCCCGCTCAGAACCTTATACTAGTTCCGAGCCAGCTGGCAGGTGGTCTCCAAGGGCAACCGCAAATATAATCTTTATAACATCTTTTGGGGATCAAACCATCAGCCTTCCGCCCTCCGGAAACACTATGGTGCAAAATGTACCCGTCGTTATTAAGGGCCTGCAAAGTCTGTAATCAACAAATGTAAAGGTGTTTCAATTTAATTTTTAATGCGTTGTTTTCAGAAAAAGTGCAAGCTACCCGGTAACCACAAGACAATTGGAGATGCCAGTCCAGTATCAGCTACCCAGTGAAGACGAAAACAATATTCATATTGATAACAAAAGACATTGATACTTACTGTAAGCTGTGATATGTTGGATGCATGCGGATTTGATCAGGAACGAACCGTTGAATATTCTGAAGGTAGAGTTGGTGGAGACTTGGGTATTTGTCAGAGACAAGCTATATTGTCGCTCAATGCTTCTAACCATACATTTTTGTTTGTTTAAACAAATCGAAATTATGTATTTTTACAACACACGTTTTCAGGAGAGCCATATCTTTTTTTGCGAAAATTTAAGGAAATATCGAAATTATGTATTTTCACAACACACGTTTTCAGGAGAGCCATATCTTTTTTTGCGAAAATTTAAGAAAATATCAAATTCGTTTTAAAAATTGATATCACATGGTCTGTCCCATATGCATCAACTCTTTGTTATTTCAAAGCAACTTTGGGTACAGATCGTGGTACCTTTATCATGTTTGTTGTTAACGTTGTTACTCCAGCTTCATCCACTTCAAGATATTGTGATATATGCGTTTACTGTTACGGTTGTGTCTTTTACATTTACATATGAGCGTGCATATTATAGTGAGTGAGTGAGTTGGTTTTAACGCCGCTTTTAACAGTATTCCAGTTATATCACGGCGTGTCAGCTTATGTGAGAGGAAAGCCCGAAGTGATGCAGGTCTCAGACGTTTACCACATCGGTGAAACCCACGAGCACGGGTATGGTGCAGACAAACCTAGAAACATAATCGGGGCGAACCGGGATTCGAACCCACAATCATAGGTTTCAGGCTTGTCCAAGGGACGCAACTCTGCACAGCGAATCGCGGCGCCTTAGACGACTGGGCCAACCGTGCCCCCGCATGCATATTATAAGTTGTAGCAGGATCACGAGGGGTACATGGGGTTTTATGCGTCGAGCGTTTTGTCTTATACCACGTGCCGGAGTCGAGGGGTATAAAACCTAACGAGGGACGCATAAAATACCATGTACCCCTCGTGGTCCTACTACAACCAATTTATCTTACTGACATGTTTTAATGTGACATTGTGAAAGAATTAACACCAATTCAAAGGCATTAGAAGTGATGCACATAAGAAAGAGAATTTATGGATTTCAAGGAGTTAGCATGTACAAATGTACTCCGAAACGTTGTGTTCCTCATAATAAAGAAGCTCACATCAATAAATTCTCTTCCTTAAATTAAAAATGATAGAAAACAGCTATTCGATTGAGCTGAGGTTAACTTGTGCTATGTCACGTGACTTCTATTGCCTCGGGAAAAGCGTGCGGCTTTTTACATTGAAGCGGGGTGAAAGGTATTTATTCTGCCTCTCAGATATCCACGTGCAGCCTGCATTGCTCGTGGCGGGGTATAGGAGATTACACAGTATTTTATCAAGATCACGTGGACCAATCAGATCTCATCATTCTGACATGGATGTATGATAAATATTTTTATGTATATGTTGCATGCATTTTCAAAGCAATTAGAGCCAAAAGGCACTATCCATCGTACTTATGTGTAGACGTTTTGCCAGTGAGTCACCTCTATTCATTTAAGCACAATGATACTTGGAAATGTATCATTATGAAGAGGAACATTTAGAAGTATTGCGTTCGAAGTCGGTAACGTTATTTCGAGGTTAATGATTGATCATGTATTTATACATATATATGGTATGGGAGTGTGTGTAGTCGTTTATCACGAATCCAAGAAAAAAAATTTATGTTGATAGATTGAAACTGTGAGGACGTGATGGCAGACCTGAAGATCAGCGGATGCGTCTTAAAACAACATTTATTCACTCACACCACAGTAGAATAGGTCTTCAGCAACCCATGCTTGCCGTAAAAGGCCACTACGCTTGTCGTAAGAGGCGACTAACGGGATCGGGTGGTCTGGCTCGCTGACTTGGTTGATGCATGTCATCGTTCTCGTGCTTTAACTTTTTATTGTTCAGGGCAGAACTATGCTTTATTACACTAAAAATAGGGGTGGAGTGAACTGTATTCCTACAATTGTTGTCCTCCGTCAGGGTGGACGTTACTCGGAAGTTTGTAAAGTTTATGTTTTTTATGATTGTAATAAAGCTATTGTATTGTTTATGTATTACAGTTTGCGTTCTTCTGTAGCTCCATACGCCGTGACACACAGGTTCCGCAGTTCGCTGTGCGGAGTTCCTATTCCATATTCACTTGATCACGATCCGGTGTTTAAACAGCAAATATGCGGACCTCGCTTTTCAAATGTCACGCTTGCATCCCAAGTACCAAGTTGTCCGACTCCCCATTGTTCTCAGTGCCTCAGGTTTGGTATCTCCCAAACTGTTGTGTGACATTGGAAGAGTAACCGGGTTTGCTGCCAGGAATATAGCCCTTCTGAGAATCTGGGTAATCCAGAAGGCTGTTGGGGAGTCTTCACATTCTCCGAAATGTTCTGGGTGGGTTCGACTAGGCAGCGCTTCCTGGACGTTTCATCCGCTGTCTGGCCTGCGTGAAGAGGGGCAAAGGCCCTGAGCTGATGATCCAAACCGGATTTGACTCAGTGGGTCGGGTTCATTGACTTGGCTAATTGCGTGTCGTATCCGAATTGCGTGGTTCGATGTTCATGATATCAATTACTTGATTTTCTGGTCAAGACATGATTGTTTACTGACCGCGGTCATAAAGCTGGAATATTGCTGAGTGCGGCGTTTAACAACAAACAAAACAAATAAAGCGCGTCGTCGTTCCCCACTGCTTGGATCGTCGATCAGTGTATCAATCACTGGTTTATCTATAATGTAAGGCCCCGATATTTGGGATAAGCTGCATAGGGCTAGTTTTGGAACAAGGAAGGAAGGAAGGAACTATAGGTTATGTGGGTTTATTCACGCCAGTTCCATCAATAAAAAATCAACAATAAACATTATATTCCAAACGCATCTCTTCTAGATATTCATGACAGATGACAACAATAATTATTCACGCCAGTGCCATCAATAAACAATAAACAATAAACATTATATTCCAAACGCATCTCTTCTAGATATTCATGACAGATAACAACAATAATTATTCACGCCAGTGCCATCAATAAACAATAAACAATAAACATTACATTCCAAACGCATCTCTTCTAGATATTCATGACAGATAACAACAATAATTATTCACGCCAGTGCCATCAATAAACAATAAACAATAAACATTACATTCCAAACGCATCTCTTCTAGATATTCATGACAGATAACAACAATAATTATTCACGCCAGTGCCATCAATAAACAATAAACAATAAACATTACATTCCAAACGCATCACTTCTAGATAATCATGACAGATAACAACAATAATTATTCACGCCAGTGCCATCAATAAACAATAAACAATAAACATTACATTCCAAACGCATCTCTTCTAGATATTCATGACAGATAACAACAATAATTATTCACGCCAGTGCCATCAATAAACAATAAACAATAAACATTACATTCCAAACGCATCACTTCTAGATATTCATGACAGATAACAACAATAATTATTCACACCAGTGCCATCAATAAACAATAAACAATAAACATTACATTCCAAACGCATCTCTTCTAGATATTCATGACAGATAACAACAATAATTATTCACGCCAGTGCCATCAATAAACAATAAACAATAAACGTTACATTCTAAACGCATCACTTCTAGATAATCATGACAGATAACAACAATAACAATGATAATCAGCATGATATGATTGTGTAAGAGTATGTACGGTAAGATCAAGATAAAATTTTACCGGGAGATTTAATGTCTTACGCGGATATATATTGCACAGGTTAAATCTACAGGTAACCAAAAGCTCTGCATTGAAAAACATTACGTGTGTGTATCTCCTAATTAACCACTTCAAATAAAGCAATCCTGTCAGATCACTCTTTAATGTCATGGTAGAATTAATTTTTGCTAAATATTTGACTAGAGATGTCAATGAGGTAGCGAAACTGCGTTGAAAGCGATTGATGAGAATATAGATACGAATTTACAGAGTAAAGACTGAAGCTCATTTTCACTGACAGAAATGTTATCTTACAGTCGTGATTATTCGGATGACTACGGCATGGAATTATGAACATGAAAATAGAACAATATTTAATTCACTTAGGTCTAGTATTTCTATTTTTATAAACCGCACTTTGCTCAAATGCGGTTTCTGTGTTCCCAGAACAGTGGATCCACATGTATGCCAGTTATCATTCTCAACCCCCTGGGGAGTATACGACCCAGACTGCCTACGGGCGTTAAAGGGGTTTTCCATCCATCTCACACATTATTGCACTGAATGGGGTCGCCGAGTTTGTATTCCTGTCTAAAGTTTTTGGTGTTAATAACTAAGTAAACAACATGTGAAGTTGTTATTGTTAACCTATTTCTTTATTTAAAAAATGTCTTGAACGTGTTCAACGTAAATGTTTATTATTGGTAGCCATTTAGATTTTGCATCTAGAAAAAGGTACATATTTATCAGATTTAGCTTACAATATGGCAGTACCATTTGAAACTTAATTCCAAAATTTTATTGACAATAATTACAATGCAAAGTTGTATATATAATAATTGAAAAAATGTAATAGCATACCAATGGAACAAATTCATTTTCGTGTCAAATTAACAAAAATCATTTTCAAACGGATTTTCATGAAAACATATTTTTCAAACTTCACCCCTCCCGTTGAACAGCCAAAATTTCTTGCCACACATTGCTCTTGTTTAGAAGACTCTAAATACGCCTTTAAAAGAATTTAAAAACAGGTGTCTCTGTTGGCAATGAAAAATATAGGTTCACTATAAGTTGGGCAGCCAGCCGCCATGCATTAAAATGTAATTCCGGCTGTTAAAGTTTTGGGCGAAAATGATGACTGGTAAAACTTCAAAATTATCACATCAAACATACAAACCTTTGCTTCATGGACATTATGAACTAGGCAAATTCAATAAATAGTTAAATCATGTTAAACAAATATCTTACAGAATGTTGGCTAATATACACGTGGCATTCATTGACAATTCTAAACGTTAATTATGTTAAATAGCCTAAAGAATATACTTGAAGATCAATTTCTAAAACAATGACAATCGAGTTTCTTTTTTTCCTCAAAAGTTAAAAATTATAGAATCTATAAAACAGTATTCACTTATGAACAGTACCTTACTCAGCTCCCTATACAAGGGTCCAAATTTACACAGTATGGAACTGCAAGGCACTGTCTTCCTATAGAAGTCGAGCGATGGAACAATACTCCATTAATAGAAAGTAAATGTACTTTTTGTCAGTCTAAATGTATTGGGGATTAATTTCACATTATTATCATTTACCATGAAATGACGAGCAAACAAGTTCATTTTCTTGTCAAACCTGAGTTAAAAAAAGGACATTCTGGAACAATCATTGTTTCAGCGCTGCACCCCTCCCCTAGATTTCTCTTGTTTGGAGGACCTTAAAATTACGCCGATATATATATCATATCGCCACTATATTATGTTTGCCATTGCATCTATTGACTATTGTGTATACATACATTTTGTAAGTCATGTGACATGTGATACGGTCTGATTGCAATAAACGTTATGTTCTGTATGCAGAAACTGTTTCAATATTTCAGTGAG